ATATTATCGATATCAGTAGTACCAATACTTCTTTTTTTTTCTTTTTCTTTTTTTTTAAATATGTGATTTAGATTCTGTATATATAGTGTACATATGTGATTAATTCCACCATGAAACACCAAAAAGAAAAACAAGTTGGAAATAAATATAAAAGAAAATATACAAAATAATTTTGTTCTTTAGTAATAAATATAAAATATTAAGACAAATATATAATTGGAGAGTAACCAGTCTAGTTTAACATGACTAAGTTTTGTAATTATTTTGTCCTTTGGTACAATTTCAATTGCATATATAGCATGCTAGCTATCAAAACGTAATTAAATTATTTAGAGAGCATGCTGGGTAATTAACAGGTCACTAATATCTAGAATGCAGGCCTTCCTTCTCTCCCTAAATAAATATAATTCTTCACTACCAGCCAGTTGACCCATCCCTCCCTCTCTCTCTCTCCTTCTCTCTCTCCCTCTCCCTCCTTCTCTCTCTCTCTCTCTCTCTCTCTCTCTCTCTCTCTCTCTCTCTCTCTCTCTCTCAAATGGAGTCTGATCAGGCAATTCAAGAAAACTCAGAGCAGGTCTCGGATGATAAGCAAGGTGCAAGCCAAGCAGCAAAGTCATATGAGTGCACTTTTTGTAAAAGAGGGTTTTCTAATGCGCAAGCTTTAGGAGGGCACATGAACATTCACCGAAAAGACAAAGCCAAGCTCAAGCAAGTCTCCTCATCAAATACTATTGAAACTAAACAACACCAACAACAGCAAAGACTTTTGGACATCCCAAAGATGCCCTCCTCGTATTCTTCTCCAATACTTCCTACCATCAATTCTTCAGAACACAATAAGCTTAAGCCTAGTCATGATGCTGAAAGAAACACATCGACATGGCCTTGGTTTCTCAACAAAGAAGGTGTCACCATGAGGCATAATATTGATCCAAACCATCTTTCCCAAGTCCAACAACAACTCCCACTATTTTCTCAAGCACCATCACAGGCCAGAGTTCACGAAAATCCGGGTTTACGACAAGCTCATGGGGATCAGGGTTTGCCGCCATCGGGTTCAGAGTTAGACCTTGAGCTTAGGCTAGGGCCTGAGCGTCAAGATTCATCATCAAAGGCAAACACTACAAGAAAGTTCTTTTGAATTTAATTTTACTCTATTCCAATCCCGGTATCGCTAATTTCTCTCATTTATATATTATATATTTTAATTATATTTATTATTTATGTTGTAGATTCTTAATTGATTTATCGGTATTGTGCATAGAATTTTACTTGTGAAATCATATAATTAACCTTTTGGTGTTGGGAAAGGTCCAGTTATTAGTTGTTCATATCTTCAAATAAAAGAAATCTGATTCTTTTGCCAGATTTTATATCTTGTTTTAAGTTGAACCACATGCCGTACCTTCACTGATTTATTACAAATTTGGCCTTAACAATCCATCCAGGAAACTGAAACTAGTGATAAGTAAAGGGAAACTCGATCCGTTTCAGTGATTGATTTCAATTATAAATACATTGAATCAGTATGCACGGAAATGAGGATATATGAGAAATTGAAACACTGTGGCTTTGCTGTGTCGATAGAATTAGGGTTTAGTTGCTGAAGACGTTTGACATAAACCCTAGATGCACGTGAAGCCATGGCTTAGAAACTTAACGATTGCCTCACAAATATATTCTACCTTCTTACTTCAGAAGTCTAGTCTCTGCTGCCCAAATTTTCTTTTTTTCTTTCCAATGGGAGTGAGGATATATATATATATATATATATATATATATATATATATATAATTAAGCAAAAACGAAGAAAGATTGAGTTGGTGCTTTTAGGTGTTAAAAAAAATTACAGCCAGATGCTTAATGTAATCAATTTGCTTTCTTATTGCACTGCTTTTATCACTACTGCATTCATTGTGCAAATAAGTGTTGATAGTGATTATATATTGTCTAATTAAAATACTTAACATCATATTTCTGCAAACCCTTTTTCTCTCTTTCCTAATTACTTATCGATGTTAATTCTTGACGATTAATTATGTGAATCGGGAAGCTAATTAGCAATTAGTTGCATAGGAATATTACTACAAGTAAAGATCTTTTGAATTCTTTTGGTATTTTATTTAACTTTTACAAGGGACTGCAACTCTGTTTTCTCCTTCTTCTTTTTTCTTTTTATGTCTTTATAGAAGCAAAGGCACAAGCATTATTTCACTAGCTACAATGTTGCATTGAACCTGAAAGGGGGTTTGTTTTTTGTTTTTCTCAAACACCAGAAAATATCTATACTGTACATAATCAGTTGCTTCTTCAATGTTTTTGCGTAGTACATTGAATTGGCTCGTCATCTATAGACTCCTAGTTTCCATGCAAGTTAGGTGATTGTGGCGAGCATTCATGTTCTATTTATTTAGTGTTATAAATTGATTCGATGAGTTCATGTAATTCAGTTATATATCACTTGAAAGGAAGATGTCAATAAATCCTATTTTATATTCTTATTCCATTTTTCTTTTCTTGCTCAACTCTTCTACAAAGGACCCCATAGTATAGTGGTTTGGAGCAAATGCTCCCCTTAGGAAAGGTCCTGGGTCCTAGTTCTAATATTCATGTAGTGTGTGTGAGTTTAGTATGTTATCGCCCCTCTCAATAGGAAAGATCCTAAAAGAAGAAAGAAAAAAAACAGCTATCATTCCTGGTCTTAGCTAGTTAACTATTATTTTAATAGGATTTAAATGTATATATGATAACATTTATTCCCAAAAATGTACATGTACATGGTTCATATATATCTAAAAAAAATTATTTATTTTATTTAAAAAAAGTGAAATAAAGGAGATGGTTCTCTGTGATGCATGCACTGTTGACGTGAGCTATCCTAATTAATCAAGGAGATTTATTTCCTTGATTAATTAGATGATTTACTTCCTTAATTATTTTATATATTTTAACATGCACCACAAGGTTTTTATATTTCTTTGCTCTTTCCCCGAACAACTTAAGGAAGAAAAATCTTTGCGATTTTTGATACCCCCTTAGTATTATGTGTGTGTGCCAGCTTGGTGTGTCACCTCAACTAATAATTCCATTAATGTCTAATATGAGCTTACAATAGAAGGCAAGAATCAAAAACTGTGCAGCATATAGCAAAACTGCAGAAGTAATCTAACTTAGAGATAATATCAACAAAAAATTTTGATTTTGTCTACAAGTGACAAATTAGACATATTGACACACGGAGAGGTAATATTTAGGAAAATCTATCAAAAATGAATATTCAAACATGGGAGAATTCTCAAATAAGTATTTAAGTTATGGATTGGCTACGTATTTCTAATCTCGACCATTATATTGCATTCATTAGATGTGTTGGTAGATTTAATATGTAACAAACATGCAATCCAACGGTCAAAATTAGAAATATGTAACCAATCCTTAAAATAAAATACTTATTGGAGAATCTTCTATGTATCTCATACTAGCTAGCAGAGCACTTGCCAGATCTTAGCCCTCATTTGAACAAAAACAAAAATACTTATCTTCATTATGATTACACCATGCACTGTTTTCAAATTTCATGCGAGCCCTAAACTTCACCTCCGTGAGCCTGAGAGAGAAAAAGTGCACGGTTATCGAGACTAAGAAAGAAAAATTTTCAATCCAAGGCAAAGGGCATCCTATTATATATTCTAGAGTTAAAACATGATGAGGTAATGGTTGAGAAATAGACAAATGCTCAAGATAATTAATTAATTATAACTAAATAATTAGTTTTAAAAATGTTCAGTTCAGTCTTTAGAAGAGTTCGAAGAGTAAGAAGAAGTAAAAACGACAACAATAAAAACGAATCATTTGAATGGTAACTTGGTAAGGATCCAAATTTTGGAGAGATGAAGTCAGCTGAATGCGATAACCCACTTGACAATCAAATTAACCAATGAGGTCACTTTTTTTTGGTAATATCTCTACGAATTCATAGTAAAAACCAAAAATCCCTTGGAACCTAAGCTTCAATGTCATGACTTATCTTTTGAAATTTTATTAGAGATGTGTGATACTAGAGGCACTAACATAATATTCCAACTAATGCGGTCTTGTTTTATTTGTTTCTTTTTGGCTCACCTTAAAACCTTATTTGGTGACTCTAGTATTATTATTTCTCAATTGATGTAGCGACCAGAGATAATTAAGGATTAATATAACTGGGTGCTTGAGCCAATAGAACCTCTCTATATATGTCATTGCCGCGTTGATCAATATGTACACAAGAAATATTGCCAAAGACTGCACATGTTTGTGTGTGTGTGTGTCAACCCACTTAAGACACAAAATTCAGCATATCAATGATTAATTTGCTAAATTTTCACAACCAGGGCAATTTGTCGTTTGATAATTGTCTCTCATAGTTGTCCTCATCGTTGCTGTTGTTATCTTTCTCTTTCAAGTTGACCCAGGAAAAGCTTTAAAATACTTGTTTAAGTGTCGAATTAATTAATACAAATTAAAAGCTTGGTTAGCAAGCTACACTTTCTTGTTCGCATAAGGAAGGGACAATTGAATACTCAAATCACTCTCTTTTTGAAGACAGTGCTAGGCAAGTACAAGATTCATTGGAAGTTGCCTACATATGGTGATGAAGACAACATATAAAACAAGCACGATTTCGATCGTGACATAATATTTTTGCAAATCTTGACTAATAAAACCTTTTTATCGAGTTCATTTGGCACCCAGCAACAGAAGACCGGAAACTGTGATCATAATATACGTCACCGTGACGTAAATTTAGTGTATTCATACTGTGTTTTTGCATGCATTAAGCAGGTGTTGATTTGAGTATTAACAAGAATATGAAGGAGATTATTTCCTTATTCGTTGAGAAAGGACAACCAGTACAGATATTACTTGCTGGAACTCATATATAAAACCATCTTTCAAATTTCAATAACAACAAAGACATATAAATACTACTAAACCCTGGTACTTGGCCAGTTTTCGCCTCAGTCATCGTCGACATACACAGTTTCTTGCGTAAACAAGCCACCAAACACCTTCCTCACTTCCTTGTTCTCATCCGTTTGCTTGGCCTTAGGCTTTGGCTGTTCTTTCGGTTTCAAAGAAGCCAGTTTTGGAGTTGTAACTTGCTTGGCAACCGCTTTCTGCCGAGGTAAAGTCCGAGCCTTTGCCTGTCCTCGGACAGTGGCAATCTGCACTTTTGGTATCTCTGTAGACTTTTGAACTGTGTCTGCAAGTTGTGAGCTAAACTTGTCCCAGGACAGCCCTGAGCCAATATCTTTTGCCTTGTTGAAGAGGCTGTCTATTGTGCCCCCTGCAGCCTCAGCCTTCACTTGAGCATCTTCAGCTAAAGTAGTTGCTCGAGCTTCTTGCTCAGTCAGCTTTTTTACCTCTTCTTCAAGTTTCTTCGTCACTTCAGCTGCTTCGCGAGCTCTCTCAGCAGCTATTATTGCCTCTTCCTCTGCTTTTGCCTTTGCAATTGATTCTGCATAAGCTTTCCTTCTTCCATCCTCAGGGATGGTACTAGAGGCAATAAAAACACACACAAAGTCAGACAATTTTCCATCAAAAGCAAAATTCACCAGTAGTCTTCAATAAACATGAGAAATATATAGAGACTAATAGAGAAAATAGCAAATAAACCAGACTCAAAGTTAATGAAAACAGAACATTTGTGTAAATCAAATTCCATTGTACAATAAAGACTTGGATATTTCTCTTTGCATTAGATAACGGCAAAAACTTGTGCTCCAAGGTACCTGAAAAGCTGATCCACAGGCTTGGAGGGTGCTGATGGATCAGTATATACTTCCACAACCTTTCCCAGCATCAGAAATAAATATTTAATCAATTAGATAAGTAACCAATTAATTTATATATATATATATGACTTTGTACATACCCATAAAATAAAATATAGAAAACCACAAAGAGTAATGTTCTTTGATCACATCTCTTATAAGGCTGAAACCTGCTGAAATAGATGGATTTCAATTGGATTTCGTCTCTATGAGAGATGTAATCAACAACGTGATTCGAAAATGTGGTACCAAATTACCGAACCAAATTTACTTTCAAGTAGACAAGGTACCTTATTTTCCGCCACAGAAGTGTTTAAGAAAACATCGGCCACCAGGTTTGCAATCTGAGCCTTGGCTACCTAGTGTGTGCAATGTTCAATATTATCAGGAAAGGTAATGTCAACACAAAAGAAAATAAAAAATCAAATGAAAGCATTTCACTATTATTGCATACATTACATTACTTTGTAGTCGTTTGCACCTCCGCTTCCTTCAGCTGAAACGACAACGTTGTATGAGCTCTCAGGCGAAAAATCTTCAGTCAAACTTGTTTTTATAAACGTGTAGCTGACACCCGTTTCGATGACTTTTTGCAAAAATTCAGCTACAGTCAACGGCTGAGATCCCGAGATGAGGTTGTTAAAGAATGAAGAGAGGCCATCTAGTACATTGTAAGTTGCTACACCCGATGTGTTCCTGTCGTAGATTATTGCCACGTGCCCAACGCCGGCCAGCTGGGCAGCTTGTATTACTTGTAAGGCGTCTAATGGGGTGACTTCGGTCGTTGGACCGTTCTCGTTGGGGCCGATTGTGACGACAACTTTGCTGGCGTTTCCGATGGCTTTGGCAATGGCCTCGGCATCTTGGAAGACGGATTCAACCGCATTGATGCGTTTTGATTCTTCGTTTGATATGATCTACGGTGTCGATGAAAGTTGAAGCAAAAATGTTAGGACCAATGCTATCACATGCTCAGGGCATAGTTTATCCATTTTACAAAACAATTTTTTGCAACAGAAATTCAACAAGGCGTCCGTCCTTTGTTAAACGATAGATTTTTGCATTGATAATGTTGATAATATGTGTTAATAATGATGTATCGATAACATGTCGATAAGTTTTGCTATTGTGACAACGAAATAAAAATTGATTCCCGTACTTTCATTTAAGCCTCCTTTTAACTTCTTCGATAATAAGTATTCTACCACTAAAGCTATAAACAAAAAGTAGCATATCTTTTGCTTGTCTATTAGTTCCATAGCCAAAGGGGCCATTCTAAAGTTTGGTACGAAATTGTGTAATTCACATTGTTGATTCGATTGGTTCGAGAAAGCTAACCTTGTATTTAGAAGCAACACGAGCCAATTCTTGGGCAGCACCAAGTTCAGGCACGCCAGCCCTCACACTGAAACCTTCACGCAAAAGAGTCTGTGCAATGCGAACCCCAGCCTGACCCGTTGCGCCAGCAACAAACACAGTTCTAGGGTCCTTGGTTCTGGGGTTCCCAAATGACAGGCCTAAAGAAGGCCGACTCACAACAGGGATCAAAGATTTCACATCCGGAATTTTGCCGAAATCAAACCGGAAAGAGCTGGAATTGGTGGAATCATCAGCTTGGCCTTCGTCCGACGACGAACCATCGCCCCCGGACTTGCCAAACCGAAATGCGGATAAGGGGCCAGCCCTCTTGGCCAAGACACAGAGCCTTGGGTTCTTGAGGGTGGTGGTTGCTCTTGAATTGGATGTGGAGGTTAGAAGAAATGAATTGGAACTGAGAGTCGCAGCCATTGATGCAAAGAGTGGCTCCTCTTCCCTCACAATTCAGTTTTTTGGCACACCCATGGCTAATTTCTTGTCTTGACTGGACCCCAACACACCACAAGCCTGTGGCGGCTGAATTGCATTTGTTCCGAAATATTATCTGGATGGGGAGTGTATGGGAGCAGGCAAATAAAATGATGCCACGTGGCATACTCTATCTACTGAAGGAAAATTGGACACCAGGAAAGGATTTTATCCACTCAATGCTTGATGCCACCACAGAAATAATGCGATAGGCATGGGCCCACCGACATATAATATCGTCAAAATGATCTAATGTCCATGTCAATAATTTTGTCATTTTCATTGATGCACCACGGGAAGTACGTTGATGTGTAATGGTCAAAGTTAAAACAACCTCAAACTTGAAAGTAAATGGTGAACTCAATATTCACCGGCAAGCCCCAAGGGGCACAACTACGGTAAAATCAAGAAAGTTAAACAAACATCCCAAGCGAACAAGAATAACCAAGCTATTACCATTACCATATTGGTAATAACTATTAACAACACACAGATTCAAATTGGCAACATTAGCGTTCAAACAGATAACTATTAACTAAATCAGATGGGGAACATGGAATGACCTGAAACGCCACAATATTACAACCCATTGAATGGAAGTTTTGCTAGGAAACATCCAAGGAAGACGAAGGCCGGAAAGGCGGGGGTGGGAAATCTGAAAGGACACCAATCTAAGCCCCACAAATATGGCAAGCAAAATAATACTAGTATATATACCATTCAGAATTAACATCAGTGTTGATTTCTCAATGCTCACCGAGATCCTAACTACGAAATAGATCAGTTCTCATACAAACCAAAATATGAAGCTGATGCTTATTGTACTCTCCTATTTCTAACCCCACTTCTACTTCGTTGAGCCAACCAAGGTACCAGCACCGATGTCAGTAAGCCTCATTCCATACTTGTCCTTAAGTCAGACAGCATATTAAGTATACTCATCCATGCTTCGCATTTCCAACATGTAAATGCTTTAAGCATACGCTACTACCATTTAGAAAAACAAATTATCAAGAACAGTAACACAAAACACCATCTACTAACCTTAAAGAGCTAATGATATAGCCTAAAAGATCCTTTGCAAATGGCGGTACCTCAAGATGTGCCATTTAGTTCGAAAATTAACAGAAATCCATGCCAAGCTAGTTGCAGCAAATACTTCATAACCAACCATTAAAAGGTAAACAAAAACAGAGAGTAAAAACTGCATCCAAAGATTCATATTGAAATTGCAACATTCATCAGTACTGCCATAGGACAGAAACGTATATTAGGGTCATAAATTATCCAATCAACAAACTTTTCCTATCAAAATTAAATGCTTCACCCCAGATGTGAAACACAGTTAGAAAAGAACATTAAGGTGAAGATTAACACCTCCGTTCTCATATAATATTAATCATTTCATATACATAAATGGTATACCATCTATATCAACCTTACAGTCGGTATCAACATGAGGACCAGACAAATCCAAGACCACAGCACCATGGAGAATTTTACAAAAATTAAGTCCCAGGAACAACTCTCACGCTTCCATCCTTAAAATTTAAACAAAATCAAAGTAAGAAAGCAGCAACGATATACATGCTAAGAGAGGGGAAAGAGAGATAGAGAGAGAGAGAGAGAGGATTCACCAAAAGACACTGAGTTGTTCCTCTAAAAGAGCCTGTAAAGGAATAGAAAACTTTACCTGAACCAATGGTCAAAATGTGGATCTGCGCATGATCTGCTCAAGTAGGTGACACCTAGTTGACATAAATTTCATCTACCAATTAACCAGAAAGCTAATTTTAGTAAATCCTCATGAATGAAACAGATAAGACCTTCAGGTTCTTTTTGTCGTAAGAAAGAAATAGCCAGATCAGCCAATCATACAGACCAGAACAAACTACCTAAAAATGACCAAATTTTACACAAAAAAACAAAGGGTAAATCTATGGTAATGACTAAAAAAAAAAAAAAAAAAACACAAAAAAAAAAAAAAATTAAAGGATATTTATTTTTTTTTTGAAAAAAAAAAAAAAAAAAAAAAAAAAAAAAAAAAAAAAAAAAAACTAACAAACACCCACCCCACCCCCCCCACCCAATTCAAAAAAAAATCAGACAACAGACATCAAAAATATATATATATAAAAAAAACAATCAGAGCTTCGCATCCATGTGATGATGATATCCCATAAAACAAGAAATCATATTCACAAAGACAATTATTACCAGAAAATCTAGCAGCAAGGTCTGCATAAAGTTGAACTCAAGAGAATAGCTCAGGAAATCCTCATTTATCCACTTAAGCTGCCAGCAGTAAACACAGACTACATTAAACAGTAAACAAAACATAGAAATACTCTCATTCAAATTCCTAGCAAATCTGAAATGTTACTGCTTAAAAGGATTGAAAAGATTAAATAACATCACAATGTCTGAACATAGTAACAAATTTAGTGATTGATGCCCTTCTTTGCTTTAAGTGATTCGAGAGCCTTCTTGCGTAACTCAATCTCAAGTTTCTTCTGAATAGCCTCTGCCTCTTCATTGTCACTTGAATGAAGCTCCCTCCTGCCTACATGTTCACCACCTGAAGCAGAAGCATCACTGTAATTCTTTCCTTTCAGCTTCTCTGCACGACGTTCTTCTTTTCTGCGGCGTCGCTCCTCACGTCTTCGGCGCTTCTTCTCCTTCCGCAATCTCTTTTCCTCTTTCCTCCTCCTTTTAGAGCCCTTCCTGTCTTCTATTTCAGAATCATTACTGTAATCATCATCTGAAGTCACTGCTTGCCTCTCTGATCTCTTATTCTTTCTTTTTTCCTTATCCCCACCTCTGCATTTGTCACTTTCCTCAGAACCAGAATCAAAAGTGCCACATTGATTACTATGATCAACCTTTTCAACTGAAGAGTGTACAGATCCTGGTTTGTGATGCCGGTCACTGTCCTTGGAATTCTTTGAATGACAGCGGTTCTTATCATCAGTCTTTCTACCTTCATTAGGATATGATGCTTGTTGAGTCTCACCAGGCAGAGAGTCCTTTGACATGGTTGCTGCTTTTTGTTGCTCAGGAGTTCCAGGAGCCCCCCTCCCAGAGGATTTCCTACTGTCAGGAATGTAATAATATCAGGCCTGAAAACTAAGTACTTCCAAGTAATCATATATGCATTATAAGATGTGTCAGAGGCCATATTTACCTCCTCATCTCCTGCTCTTTGTTTCTGAATTCCATATTATCCAGACGACTCCGAGATTCAGTAGATCTATGACCAGATGCTACTCTTTCAGGAGAGTAGTCTTCCTTGTTACGAACCTTAGCAGGAGAAACTATCGGCTTACTGATCACTGATGTATTTTTTGATCTTCTCTCTGTGGACTTAGGTCTATAATCGCCATCCTCCCTACAACCAAAAATCTAGAATCACTCAGATGAATTGGAAAAAATGAGAATTTCTAACGCTGTGATGATAATTGATAATAAAGAGTATCCAGAATATTCCAATAAACTTTCAATTTCTAATGTGAACTAGTATAGTTGATTTCTTACTCTTCGCTTATTTCTGGACTTCCACGACGAAGCTTTTGTTCTTTTGGTTTCCTTGGAGGACTTGAGCTAACATTACGAGTCATTTGCTCCCTTGGTCGTCGCACCGGACTCTCATAAGGACTAGAGGATCTTTGAAGGCAGCAAAAACAAAGTAAGCACCGAAAAATAACCAGATAATCAAAACTAACATCATAAGATCATATGAATCGGTTATGCAACCAAGATGAATACCTCCTTTCTTCACTAGCACTCCTTACACCTGGTGGAGATTCTGACAGTATGCGAGACTTCTCTGGTGATGGCGACAAATCTGGTGCTCTTTTACGGGAATCTTTCTCTTTCTTTGACTCCCTCTGCAGTGATCCGGGAGAGCTAGAGGACTGACGTGGCACAGGAGAAAATTGGGACCTGTAACATTTTGTAATTTATAAAATGATCAAAATTTGCCCAACATGACTTATAATATAAATAGGTTGCTAAGAACTAATTGAAAATGCAACAGAAGCCGCTACGAGGAGACCTTGTCATAAATTAATTTCATAAAATGACTACAACTACACACCACTTGCATAATGTCCTATAACCTGGCATGCAATGCAACAAACTAAAGCCTATGCGACAGAAAAACAAACAGAATTGTAACAAAATCAAGGGGTATAAACCTGGTTCTTTCTTGAGGAGATTGTGAAGGAGATCTCTGATACTTTGTTCCCCTGATTGGTGAAGGGGAACCATTCTGAATAGGAGATGCAGAACTTCGGACATAAGGCGAAGGAGACCTATTCCGAGGAGTTGGTGATCTCCTACCACCACGAACCGGTGACCTACGTTGCACTGGAGATGCATACCTGTTGCGTGAAGCCAATGGAGATCTTCGATACCACCGTCGTGCGGGTGAGGGAGATCTGCGATGCACAGGTGAGCGGGATCTGCGACGTCTTACAGGAGAAGGTGACATGCGACGTCGCAAAGGAGAGGGTGACCTGCGACGCCGCACAGGTGAGGGTGATCTGCGACGTCGGACAGGTGAGGGTGATCTGCGACGTCGGATAGGTGAGGGTGATCTGCGACGTCGGATAGGTGAGGGTGATCTGCGGCGTCGGACAGGTGAGGGTGATCTCCAACGTCTAACAGGTGGAGATGTTCGACGACGACCAGGAGAAGGTGATCTATGCCGATAGGGAGAACGTAATCTACGCCGATAAGGAGAGGGTGATCTTTGTGGGGAATATGATCTAGATCTTCGCCTCGAATAAGGTGATCTTCCTCTCGGCGAGAGTGATCCCTCGGGTGAATGCCTCCGAAGAGTTGTAATAGGCCGTCTTGGTGGAGAGCGATAACCTCTTTCCGAAGAAATGGACCGTCTCCGTGCTTTTGGTGACTTGGAAACACTTTTTGACCAACGTCTTTCACTAGACAGTTATAATTACAGTGAGATCCAAAATTCCAGGAAATCTAATATCAAGTTATCAACGTTACATTAGAAATTCTTCATAAATGCAATATCTCAAAAAATTTAATCCTTAGTTAAATAAATCGAACCCGAAATAGGAAAACCTTAGAACCAAAACAGAATGAATGATGAAATGTTCTTTTGTAATAACAAAACATTCTCGGCATAACTTTTGGTATTAGAATATGACCTGCTGATTGACCTAGGAGGTGGACCTTTGTTTAAAATGATGGAAATGAAAATTGATGTGCTCTATTGCAATCAAACAGTATATTTAAAATTAATGACAGAAAATGATGGTCAAGATAATTACCTAGGAGACAGAGATGAATTTCCTGAATTTGGAGATCTTGAAACCCTGCAGGCGATTGCGCAAATAACCTTCAGAACAATTTTATTTTTATTTTTCACAGGAAAATTAACGAAAGAAAAAAAAAAAGTAAGGGAACTTTCACATCTAATGGTGTACAGAATCAATCCTTATGGATAAAATATTCCATATATTGGAAGAGTAAGAACGCATAGCATACTCAGATCAAATGGTTAATAAAATTGGAAGAACTGCAAAAAAATGCTTGGATTTTTATATACGAATGCATGTCCCACACAAAAAATTTATATTCATGAATGTAAACATAGGTAGACTACAGATCTTACAACTCTACTAAAGGTAAAATGAATCCCAATCCCTTACTTGTTCCTTGCCTTCACACCATTGCGCTTTTCATTTCCTCTTTCATCCTCAGAACGATCATTTGAAGTCCTTGGTGACATATGTTTTGAGTTTGGCTCCAACGCAATATTGCTTGATTTCTTATCAACCCCTCCTTCCTACAGTAGTTTGAGGTAAAGGTATGAACCCAAATAATTGCAGAAGCTAGCTGAATGCATGAAAACATGAACGGAAGTTAAAACCAAACAACCCATCTCTAGAGAATGCAACTCCAGCATGAATGAATATTCTTACCATCTTCTTCAATATCTCTTGTTGATCCATCCTCTCCTTATCTTTCTTTCTCTGAATTTCATTTGCAAACCTGTCTGCCTCCTCCTGTAACAATCCATGCCAGAGCTTCGTTAATAAAGCTGTATCATCTCAACCGATTCGGAACACGATTTGACACTATATATATACATATATTAACCTTCTTTGTCCGTGCTTCTTCTTGTTTGGCATCCAAGAACTGTTGAGGGACACCACTAGCATTGTTTTGTGCACTGATAAGAAGCGTCCAAAGCTCCTTCATAAACTTCACAGTGTTTTTCTCCATAAATCCAGTAAGCGAAATTTGAACTTCCTTCCCATTCACTACCTGCAAATTGTAGCACACATATGCAGTTCAAACAACATTACTATCAACCGCAAATGCACAAACCTAGGGCTCTCGTACCAACAAGTCTTAACAATAAATCATCAAACTAGAGTAACACGCCTTAGCTATCAGTTGACGTCTGGGTGAATTTTGGCCATGTCAACATTTAATTTCATGGGAAGTCATACAGTTCACCACCATTATTAACAACATGAAAATGGCAAGTAAATAATGAAGCGAAAGTGAAATTGAACAGTATAACTAGCAGCTACTCTCAGTCCATGAAATAAAGAACAACTCATATAGTGCATGACATTACCTTTCCTTCCAAAAGACCATAAATAAAGTTGATAAGAACTTCATCTTCGAACCCGAGAAGGTCTGTTACCCGTTTAGCAATCCACGGGCGCATAACCTCCATATTCACCTTCGATGTATCCACCTACAACACATAATACAGGCACATCCAATTTTTGCCAATTATAAAATATATATATGTGATATAAAATGTCAATTAAAATAGAAGAAAAAAAACCAGGGAAAAGGGCCTAACCAAATGCTCCAATTCAGGTGCAAACTTCTGAGATTTCAACAGCTTAGCTTGCTTATTGGAAAACCTTGTGTCCTGATCAGCGGACGTACCCTGAATAAACATAATCATAGACACATATTGCAACTATCAATGTCTGCAAAGGAATTTATTCAGTAATTAAGAGTTTAAGAACGAGAAGATCTGAGTTACAAAAGATAGGCAATTGAGTTTAAATCCAACATATAAAAAACTAATTAACAACAAGAATTATCAAACTAATCAATTAACTCACCCTGAAGAACCCGCCCGACATCTTCTAGGGTTTGCGATGAAAGCTGAAGGGATTTTCGGCGGTAGAATAAGAAGGCTTTTGTGTTGTGATGATTGAGGACAGAGAGAGATATGGAAGCAGAGCCAGAGCGAGCGGTGTACTTTCAGCTTACGCCATGTGTGTGGGCATTCGGGGAACTTATTCTCTCAAGTCGGGAAGGCTTTGAATTGAATTAGGGTCTGTAGTTCAATGGTGGTCTTTTGAAGCAAAAAACCCAAATTGTTTGACGATGATGATTTATCTGCCTGCTAACTCAAAGCCTGTGAATTTTGAGGGTGCCCTCTGTAGGCCTTTTTATTGGGGCAACGGCCCCTGCCCTAATTCAGAAAGCATTATCATTACAATTTTACCCATCAGATTTTTTATTTTTATTTTTCGTTAAAGGTTTGTGTGTTATTAACTTATTTTCATACAAACGATATTCGAGAGAGGGATTTTGATTTTTGGTTAGATGTTAGTGTGTTTAGTTGTTTTAGTTTCAATTTTGATGATTGTGTTCTTAATTTGGGTACTTAAAACCTCTTGATAATCTTGATCTTTTATTTTTAACGGCCGTTAAATGTGGGCAATATTAATGCCTAATTAGATGAAAATGTTATGATTGTTAATATTAAAACACAATGATACATAGAAAGCCAAATTTGGAAACGAAGTGAAGCACACAAGAACAACAAAAATCTTTAGCCCTTCTTTTACGAGGAAAATACTAACAAAGACCTTTGCCTACCCAACGGTGAATCTAATTCAATAAGTTTCATCTTTATACAATATGAGCACACCAGCAATAAGTCTTTTATTTTTATTTTATTTTTAAAATAAAAACACAAGTTTAAATCTAACAAAGGAGAAAGGTAAGGAGAAATTATTTGATCCAACTATCGAACTACATTAGTGGTCTGCATGCCTCACAACAAAACGGGGGCCTCCTCTATTGGGCTCCCACCCTACTCACGTAATCCCACCTAAGTGGGAAACCAATATAGAGATGGCATGTTTGGTTGTGAGAGTAGGACAAACAATTTACGTGGTCCCACCCTACTCACGTAATCCCACCTAAGTGGGAAACCAATATAGAGATGGCATGTTTGGTTGTGAGAGTAGGACAAACAATTTACGTGGTCCGACTGCCGAACCAAAGAATTTATCAAGTGAGAATTGCTTTAATTTAAACTTTGGTGTTCAATGAATGACCTAATAGTGTAATGGTTTTTAGCAATTACTCTCTTAGGAAAGGTGTTGGATTCGAGTCCTAACATCCGTGTAGTATTTTGTGAGTTTAGCATATTATCGCCATTTTCAATAGAAAATGTTAATTTTTTAACATTGGTGTTCAAAGTGGGTGTAAATGCTTATTACCAGTAAAACAACAAAGGTCTCTGGTTCCAATTAGTTAGCATCTTGTCGAAGTCCCTAGTTTTAAATCCAAATAGTATATGGGAAATTTATACAATGTGAATGTGCATTGAATTACAAACACTTGTATAGTCATTGGACTAACTATTTTACACTTTCCCAGTAGATTTTATGTTTATCATGAACCGCAGAATTTGTTCATATTTAATGTGAATTTACCTTTTGTACAATACCAAGAAGAAAAGAAAGGCAAGTATTGGTTAATTAAGGTAAACAATTGGCATCCTCTATACTCTCTTTTTATTCCGAGATGTCTCCTATTACAAACTCTATACTCTAACACACTAGCTCTTTTTGTCTAAACACAGTCTCATTCTTCAAAATGAATGGTGCTTCACACCATTGCACTCCATCTCCATTGATATATGTATGTGAATATTTTGGGTGGTAGTGTGCACAATTTTATCCTATTAATTGTTTTATTCCAACCAACACGAAACATTTAACCTAATTCACGATTTAGTTGCTAAGATTGATTAGTATCTCGATGAATAAGCACAATCAAGCTCAAGCGTGCCTAATTAAAATAAATCATATTTGAAAGATAATACTTTGTATATATTCCGTCACACTTTGTACGATACAAATAGTTATGCCTACTATAACTTAAGTTTTTTATGTAGTAATGTTGAATAATAACCACAAAAATCTAATCAAGACTATTTGGTCGAATGCATTTTATTCTAAATATAAAATTTTGTTGGAACAATCTGAACCGTCAACAAAGCTGGGACCCATCAGATAAGGCAACGGTTGTCCTCTCTTTGTCCAAATAATAATGGAGGTGCATAAAACTCAAACTTTGTACACAATCCAGTTACATAGCCTATAGAGAAGAGAAGCTTCACGCTTAGTCTCTCACGCCCAGAATATCAGGATCGTGCAGATTTCGCCACGTGGATACTCGAATGTAATCGGATGCAAACCTATTTATATTCCACTCTTTATTCTCCAGTTCTCGTCCGCCCTTCTCTCTCTTTCTCTCGCTCTCTATCCTTCGCCGTTGTCTCCCTCCCTCTCTCTCTGTTCTCTCACACTCAATACATCCCAAACCCAAACCCTAATTCCATGTTTGGTCATCTGACTGTCATCGATTATCTGCGCTGAAATTTGCTCTGTCCCAATTCTCCTAGGCAATCTTCGATTCGATTTTGTGTTTTGCTGGACGAGAATCGGAGGTCGGTGGAGCTGAGATTTTAAAAATGGCGACCTCCACGAGCAGTGTCTACGTCAGTGTTATTGAGGACGTCATCAACAAGGTTCGCGAAGAGTTCATGAACAGCGGCCCCGGAGAAGACGTTCTCAAGGAGCTCCAAGGAGTAATTTCAATTCCGATTTCAATCTTCCAGCTTTCATTTTCATTTTTTATTTTTCAAGTTCGCCATCTTTATTGATAATTGAAATTTTAAATTGGGTTGGTAGATTTAGGGTTTTCTGTTGGACTGGTTCTAGAGTTCGATCTAATCAATTTCTAGGGTTTTGAGTTTAAGGGGATTCATTGCTTTGTTGGAAAGTCGCTGTGAGCTACGGTTTAGCTGATTTTTTAAAGTTGGGTCAAATTTCAGACTTGGGAGGCGAAGATGATGCAAGCCGGTGTAGTAAATGCTCCTATAGAGAGAGCTGTGGCGTCAAAGCCAACGCCTGGTAGTGCTATTACTCCAGTTCACGATCTCAATGTACCTTATGAAGGGACCGAGGAGTACGAGACACCCACTGCTGAGATACTCTTCCCTCCAGTGAGTTTTTGCTGTGTTTTTCTATGTTTGTAATCAAAATCTCTGCTTGCTATATGTTGAATTGAGCCCGAGTGTTACATCACATGGTTGATGTGGGTTCTTTGGAATGTTAGACCCCGTTGCAAACCCCAATTCAGACGCCTCTACCTGGAACTGGGGACAACTTATATAACATTCCTACCGGAGGTAGTGACTTTTCTGCATCTGCAAACGAGTCTGGTAGCAGCAATGGTGGCAGCAATACAGAGCTGAAAGCTGGAAGACCTAGCCCTTACATGGTAAACACTTAATATTTGGATCGTATGAGGTGTATCCCGTTATTATGTTTCAAATTGCATAGTGGGAATACGAAACTCTCTCATTGGTCATTATAAAGTAGCTAAATTTGATTTTAATTGAACTTAGCTCTTTCTTTGTCTAATATATACAATTAACTCTCTTTGTTAATTAAGAAATATGAAATATCAAACATACCTTGTTTAGTTAAAAGGTTGTTGATAATAAATTGAAAAGGTAAGGATAGTAATGTAATTACATAACGTTCCACAATCTTCTAATTTTTACTCTTTTTCTTTCTACACTAGCATTCGTGGGTGATAATGGGTAATAGTGTAAGAGAACCTAAATCTTCTTTGTTCTGTTTGCAGCAACCTCCTTCTCCTTGGATGAACCACCGACCCCCTCTTGATGTTAATATTGGTAAGTTGGATGGTGTGGTTGTATATATATTTACTCTCAATAGTTGTGTAGTAATCTCCATTTTATTGGTGTAGCTTACGTGGAAGGGCGGGATGAGGTGGACAGAGGGACCTCTCATCAACCCCCGACACAGGTAATGCCTGCTATTAATTACAAATTCAAATTGCAGAAAATATGACTGGGTTTCTGGGTATGAAGAAAACTCATGATTAGAGAGTTGTGAATGGCTTTGGTGTGTATGCCTCCTTTTCATTGCTTTTTATTTTTTCACTTCTTGTCAAGGATATACAATCTATCTTAAGATGCATCATTCTTTTACAATTGTAGTTAATCATTATCTCACTGTTGGAGAAAATTTCAGGACTTTTTCCAGATGAATTCTGGAAAGCGAAAACGTGAAGATCTTGCTTCACAGTATCCAGCTGGTGGATTTATACCCCAACAAGATGGAGCTGGAGATGCTGCACCTGAGGTTTTTGAGATTGAGGTTTGTTTTTCTTCCTGTTTCATTTTTTAATAATTTCTGACAAGTTTGCTGCACAAACTTCTTTTTAACTTTTTCTTTTGGATTCATCTATTGTATCAGTGAATTTTATTTATTTATTTGAATCTCTGGATGGGTATTTATCCTTGGTAAAATCTAAGACTTAGTTTCCTTTAATATCCAAATTATTAAGAAAAAAGGGCCTGAGATAATCTATTCAATGAATTACAAATTAAGTTAAGTTGAAACTTATCTCAAATCATTAGGCCAGTTGTACTTTTTGGTGGGACATAGTCTGATGAACAACTACCATGTTCAGTTGTATGTGAACATTGATCACCTCTCTCTCTCTCTCAGTTGGTTTCATGGAACTGAGGACCTTGTGCTTGGGGCTCTTATCTGAAGATCACTGCTAATGCTTTATTTATTTATTTTTGCAAGTCATATCTTCTTTAGGGTCTAATAGTTTTTCAGGAAGCTACATTTGAGGTGTCATTCAAAGTCATATGAATATAGTTATTTATGTATGTGGGTGACTTGTTTGGGTTTAATTTTTTGTTTATCCTTTTATTCTGGGCTTTGGCTAGTATAGTAAAGTACTGGGGTGAAACATGGGCAGGCCTTAGGCCGTATATCAATTAATTAAAGTTCGAGTTGATAATTGCAACTTAGCAAGCAATTAGGCTTTAAATATTCCAGGCAGGGCGTCATATCTTGTTCCTACTACATTTTCAGATCAAACTGTTTTCTACACTTCATAGTGGAATGTGAAAACATATATGATATATCCTTGGAGCATTACACTATAATTGGTTATAGCTTTATCTTTATGAAGTCAAGTTTACTTAGAGCATGGAAGAACATTTCTAAACCAGCATGATTCATGTGTAACACACATTATCTTTTTTGGGTTTATGCATTCTTTAGACACTTAATGTTGGTAACCTTTCAGGTCAGTGGAGGGAGCACTTCTATTGGTGGGCGTGCATGTAGTGAGATGGTAACTTGTGCACTGAGGTCAACTCCCAAGATTCCTCAACTTGATGGGCCAATTCCTGATCCTTATGATGACGCGCTTTCTACTCCCAATGTAAGTACTTTTAATGTAATTTTGCATGTAGCAGGAGACTTTATTTTTATTGTGTATGGCCCTTTTATAATAGATATGCACATTAACTCATTAACTCATCGGTTGGGTTGGTATAATCGTCACTTTTGCTTTCTGATATTCCCTGCTCTATATTAGGTTCTTATGATTTGTTTCCTAGGACGTGTGATTGACTAACTGCTTTGTGTCTTCATGGTTATGTTTTGCATTGTACTAAGACTGTATACGCATGAAATCGTGCACTGCCTTGATCTGACAGGCGGTGAGCCTTGTGCTTGTTAATGATGTGAAAGTTACACGGATAAGTGTCACCATTTATCTGTGTGTCATTGCTGTGTTGGGTTACTGAGAAGTTGAATGTCCATCTTTGTAGAGCTTTATTTTTGTTGGAGGCCGTTTCGATTTTATAGCAAGAATACCTTTCTCGGCCTTTTGGATAAGATAAGCGTAGTATCGTCTTATAAGTTTAATATCTGATATGCGGGCCAATGGTCCACACCATATTAAATTAACTTTTTCGGGGGAAGACCCAACACAGTAGCTTGCTGCTGGGCTTGCAAGCTTCACCAATGCTGTGCACTCTAGCACAGACCTGGCGCACCCTAATTAGAAATATTGTATAGCAATAAAGTGTGGTTTGTGGTTTTGCTTTATAAATTTCATCCAGTAGCCTGAAATGTGTCAACTGTGATATGAATGGTCAATGGACAGTGTTCTTTGGATATCGTACTAGGAACTTAGATTTTTTTCTTTTCACTTTTTTGGATTAGGTCAATGGATTCTAGTGGGTTGTTCAGATTTTGAGTTCTGGCCAGTTTAGCCTGTAGCCAGTATCTTTAAAAATATATATATATATTATTCTTATTTTTGGGGTTTTTTTGGGGGGTGGGGGGGGTGGTCGGGGATGGGTCCTGGTAGCAAGTATCTTTTAACCATTGACTTGATGGTCTAAAATCTTTTGAATTATAAATTTTGGAAACTTTTCTTTTCTTTATCAAATGGGTTGTGTTACCATGCCTACATGCTTTCAACTTTATGAACCATTATGTTCAACTTTCCTCTCTGTCTGCCCCTCCCCTCTCACACTTGTTAATATTTTTTCACTTGCTGACTGTTGCTTCTTCCTCCCCTACCCTACAGATATATAATTATCAAGGAACTTTCAACGAAGACTACAACGTTGCCAATACACCTACACCCAATGGTAATCTCGTGATAAACTTGTGATCACTGTGATTACCTTAGGAATGGATAAATTTAATGTCATAAATCCATATCTGTGTTGTCAAAGCTTCCTTCTCTCATAATTTTGTATCCTCCAGATCTACCAGTCAGCACTCCAGCTCCTGTTGTTCAAAATGATGTTGGAGATGACGACGACGATGAGCCCCCATTGAATGAAAATGATGATGATGATTTGGACGATGTGGACCAAGGGGAGGAGGTAAACACACACCATTTGGTTTTGGCTCAGTTTGACAAGGTATCTCTCTCTCTCTCTCTCCCCCTCTCTCTACCATGCAGTGTTATGGCTATACTTTTTGGGTTTTATATACTTATTTTTCTCTGAAATATATAGGATTAACAATTGTCTTCTCATGTATTTGGTTGCGTAGGTGACACGCACCAAGAGCAGGTGGAAGTGCACATTGAAGGATGGGATTATGCGCATAAACAATAAGGATATTCTCTTCAATAAGGTGAAGTTTACTTTGAAGAATTAATATTTTTCATGCTGTCTGTTCTTGTCCCCTCATGAGCTTTCTTTGGAATACGGCCTATTTTATGCAGGCGACTGGAGAATTTGACTTCTGATTTTGCTTGAGAGCTGCCTATTTTGGCAATTAGCGGCAGTTGCCTTAGCAGGGCAAGTCCAGAGGTATCAGTGGGTGTTTCGTAATTTTTCTTTATGAATTATTATTAAGAGAGAGCTTGAGGGAAGAGAAAGACCATGCTAGATACTTTTTAAAGATTGGGATGGATCATGGATGTTGGCCTATTTGTACATAAAGGATGATAGCTTTTTTGGCCTTTAAAATGGGATGGCTACTGAGGCGTTTCCGAAGTTTTACTATTTCTGTGATGGAATGCAATTCCATTAACTCTGTATACTGGAATTTATTCGTTAATTTACGAATTGCATTGTTTATTATCTTTCCAATTTGGCGCTTAATTCCGTCCCTTTCGGAAAAAACTCTACCCGGTTATGATACTTTATATTTTTTAGACTGTTAAATGTTGGGAACCTTGTTTTTGAATAAGTTAGATTTACCGACAGTTAATTGTTTCATTTGGTACATCCCGTACATTTTAAAACATCACTTATTTTCCTTGTACAATGAAAATGGTTTTGTCAACTGAAAGCAGATGGTTCTTTAGTAATGTTCATTTTAATGAAGTGAACTTAATATGAACTGAAATCTGTTCCTTCTCTAAACCTTGCACCATAGTGACTTTCTTGGCATGGTTTGCTCTTCATAGATCAAATAATGTAGATCTTTTGAAGAAAACAATCTGGACAGAAGTAGCAAACCCGCCTTTCCACCTTCTGCCCCTTTTTATTTATGAACAAGAAACCTGCTTTGGAGTTTTTATGCTTTCATTCCTCATGTTTTAGGTAATTTTGTTGTCAGAATATCTTGACCAAGAAGAGAGCACTTGGAAAAAAAAAATTCAGACACATTGTTACACAAAAATGGAAGACAACCTCTCATCTGGAAGGTGGCCGTGAGGCTCAGAAAAAGGCCTCTAATTTGTTGAAGGCATTGCCACTGTAACCAACAATTCTACCACGATAATGATTTAGCAGAAATGAAAAAATAGACGTCAGAAACCGTGGCAGGTTAATGTTTGATTTGAAATGTGCTCTACACAAGGCAGCAGCAGGCAAAGCCCTTTATCAAAAAACCAGGCCTAGCCATTTCATACGGCACAGAAGAGAAGCCGAATCTCAAATGTCATTGCGCTTGGTTCGCAATCATGCACTGGGATTGAAAGACGGCAAACAACGATGAGGGATCCGTAAAAGGTGCCACAGCCGGGTGTTGCCACCCGCCTGCAGCCGAAAAAGGCGGGGCAATACTTCTTACGTTCTGATCACCGCTTTTTTCGCTCGACTCTGGCATTGGTTGTGGGGATAGAATGAGGACTGGTGATAGTAATGGGATTGCCATTGAAGCGTCGTCCAATAAAGGGTTGGTAGAGGCTGTGCCTGCCGTTTGATCAAGCTGAAGACATGCCGGGGCATGCTGTTGTAGCCTTGTTGGGGCCTTCCCTCTGCCTTCACCTCTACCTGTGACGTTGTTGTAAGTATTGCAAATCTCCATTGTTTGATTTGAATGATTGATGCTATGAAAAAGTAGTCACGTACAAAAGTCTTAGCTCTGTCTCTCACTCACACACACACACACACACTTCGGATTTGGCTTATTGTATGTGGAGATTTAAAAAGGGTTTGCAAATGAAGCAAAGGATATAGATAGCAAATGGTGCTTAATTATGACTTTTTCCTTCTTGGCTAAAAATAAGGGTTTCGGTTATAGAGATGAATGGTTAGAAAACGAAATTTACGTTAAACGACAGTTTGAATAACGGTCATTTGCTCAAATAATGTTGAACAACGCTGCCTTTGTGCACCAAACTTGGTTGAGCAAATTAACCAAAGGAGATAAACGTAGGGATAATGATCGGGCTATATTATGCCCGTGTCAAATTCGTGTTAAGGATGAATCAATCTTAACTTAATCCGTTTAATTAATTATAAACTACTCAGTTATGTGACATTTGGCACGAGAAAACTTATGCGAGGATGTTCTTATCATGTGACAGTGTTGAGTGGTAGAGCAATCCAATTAGAAGATGTCATATGTTTAAGAAATAAAAATTATAATGATTGAAAGTTGAACAGAAGATTATCTAGAGTTGTGGAACTGGAATATATTCCCGTACCAAAAACCCAACAATTTTCATACTTGTGCAAGGCACTGCACTGCTGTATGTGCTTGCGTTGACGCATATATACCAAGTACAGCATCATAAGGAATAAGATGTAGTTTCTGCAATGAGAAATCCTATTTCTCTTTGGATATGGAGATTACATATATATTTTCACTGTTTTTGTCTTGGTTTTGGTCATATCATTTGTTTTTTAGGTACTTAATAAGATTCGATTCATACCTAGAGCATTTACGAGAAATATTGTTTGTAAGCTAGAAATTTCTAAACCCTTGCCCCTCTTTTCCCAAAAACACCCTCTTAGGCCCCGAGGGAAAGTGAAGTCATCCTCCCTACCAACTTGGGTTTTGTTTTCCCTTCTCATGGGAAAGTTTGGGAAAATGAGCTAACATTAAATACATATTTTTTATTACCATTTTATCCCTATTAACAATTTAGAATTACAATATATCATTAAATGCATTCTTTTTTTATTTGATTTAATATGGGTATAATTGAAAATTTATACAAACTTTGTTTTACATTCTTACTCAAAACAAACATGGGAAATGAAATAAAGTGATATTTCTCAGTTACTTCCGCAGCATTACCAAACATGGGAAAGGAATCTTCTATTACCAAACATGGGAAATGATTCTTCCATTCCCATTCATTGGGGAACGACATGGGAAATGATTTCCCCTCAAATTCATTCCATGAACCAAACGGGGCCTTAGAGTCGTTTTCAGTTTTAGAGGCGAGAAAGTCACTCTTTCCCAAAAAAACCCTCTTATAAATGAAATCTCCATTTCTTAGAGGAAAAAAAAAGTAAGAATACCTTAAAATGCGCGTTTGTTGTAAAAGTGTTTTTTTTTTTGGTCAAGTAAATTACACGCACTCCTGCTACGCATTGTTCCCGTTATAGTGGATCAAGATTCAGACTTGATAGGCTGAATTATTGAGAAGACTTATCAAAGACAAAAGTCAAGCAAAATATCAAAGGAGAGACTCACAAGCTCACTGACAGTCACACAAGAACACAGGGATATTATTAGAGCGGGAACCACAACTACCAAGCACCAACCGTCTGATTTCTCTCCTCTTTTGGCAAATTCCCAATGGCTTTCAGTTCCTCAACTCGGTCTTTGTTCAACCTCAAACTCACCAAGACACACTCTTCATCACTTCATCATCAACCCAAGAAGAAACCCGTAATCCTTTTCTCTCATGCCCATTTTACCCCACCCCTTCGTTCAACTTATAACGATTGTTTCAGGGCCAATTATGGCACTTTCACAAACCACTCTGCTCCCAGGCTCAGATTCAGTGTGAAGGCACACAAACTGACCAAAGCCTTTTGAAATTTTTGCTTCTGTTTGTGTTTTTGAGTAATGGAATTGATTTTGCATCTTTGTTTTTGTTTGTGTGGTGTTTAGGTTGGATCTCCAGACTATTCTTCCGGGGATGAAGCTCAGTCGCTTATTTCTGAAGCAACCCAACAGGAGGATTTTTCCTGGGTTTCTGTGATTATTCCGTACGTTTCCATCAAGTCTTCTTTATCTATATGAGTTCTTTTTTTTTCATGCTTTGAGTAAATGGGTAATCGTTTTTTAGCTTTAATTCTTCATTTCTTTTGGAGTTGGTTAAGTAATGGGGTATCATTTTCTAAGTCTCTGTATTGTACAAGTTGGGTGCTTTCAATGGAAGTATGCTTGCTTACTTTTGGTATGGAAGCAAGTTGAGTTCTTTTTGAATTGTAGTCAACAATGCCCTGTGTTGTCAAAGATGAAGAGGTTTATGTTCTTTCTTTTGAAACAAATGAAAGAAGCAGAGTTAGATGAATTTACAAATTGCAATTTGCTTAAGTTTACTGTTGAATATCTCTCTACTCTGTTGGTATGTAGATACTTGACCTCTAACTGTCATAAATTAATTACTAAATTCTTGGGATTCTAGCTTCCTGTTTCCAGCTTTGGGAGGTTTGCTATTTGGGTATGACATTGGTGCTACTTCTGGAGCTACCATCTCGTTACAGGTATAGCTTCAGTTTAGTGGTTTGTTTTTCAATTGTTTTGATGATTAGTAATGTAATATGATTAAGCTGTTATGTTTTGATATGTCACAGTCACCTGAGCTTAGTGGCACAGCTTGGTTTAATCTTTCAGCTGTCCAGCTCGGTCTTGTGGTATGGTTTATTGAATCTTACTCAATTTGCTCCTGTTCCATTTTCAAACCTGTGGTCTGTCTCCCAAAATTCACCAAGCATTCATCAAAATTCACAAATTACATTGTTTTGATGCAGGTTAGCGGTTCCCTATATGGAGCTCTTTTTGGTTCCCTCCTTGTCTACCCAATTGCTGATTTCCTTGGTCTGTACTTTGCTTCGCATATGTACTTTATCATGAGGTTTCGAGCTTGATCGTGAATAATTTGTTATTCTAAATTTTGAATTGGTGTATAAAGGCAGGAGGAGGGAACTTATCATATCAGCAGTACTTTATCTCCTTGGGGGTCTGATCACTGCATATGCTCCGAGCCTTAGTGTTCTCTTAGTTGGGCGTCTTTTATATGGCCTTGGTATTGGCATGGTAAGCTTCTGTGCACAGTTTCTGTAACTGCTCTAATCAAACAAAAGGAGCAAAATTAAAACAGAACCTTCTCATTATTGTCTTTGGCAGGGTTAAATAATATCATGATGTGTGTGACCATGCTATATTCACATTTTAAAAGATTTCTTTTGGCAGGCCATGCATGGGGCTCCTCTCTATATTGCTGAAACGTGCCCATCTCAAATTCGTGGAACTCTAGTGTCTTTGAAGGAGCTCCTCATAGTTCTGGGGATTCTGGTATTGTCTAACTAATATGTTTCTAATGTTAATTTTTTCCATTCACTGTCTTAGTGAAGTGGGATGTTATGTGAAATGCACTCTTCTGCAGTTGGGTTATTTTGTGGGAAGCTTTGAGATTAATGCAATTGGGGGGTGGCGTTACATGTATGGAATAAGCGCTCCTATTGCTTTACTGATGGGAATAGGCATGTGGCTTCTCCCGCCGTCTCCTCGCTGGTTGCTTCTCAGGGCAGCTCAAGGTAAAGGGTCTGTAAAAGAATACAAAGAAAAAGCCATTCTTGCCTTGAGCAAGTTGAGAGGCCGTCCTCCTGGTGACAAAGTGTCTGAAAAGCAAATAGAAGAGACGTATGTTTCTTTGAAGTCGGCCTATGCAGATCAGGAATCTGAGGGGAGTTTGTTGGAGGTCTTTCAAGGCCCTAATTTGAAAGCCTTCATAATTGCTGTGGGTTTGGTCCTTTTCCAACAGGTATTTTCCTCCTTTCTGCTATGAATTGAATTCATCTTTTCTTCTTTTGTTTTATATTCCCAAAACATGTGTACAAAGAATAAGTAAGCCAATTTACTACCTGACATGGCAGATAACTAGGGCAACCAAGTGTCCTATATTATGCATGTCCCATTCTAATCAGAATAATTAATCATTTTTTTTTTTTTTTTTTTTAATTTATTTTTTTTGTTTTGTCCTTGTTTCATTTTAGTTTTCCTAACTATGTGCACTCTTTGTGACATTGTTACTCAAGACTGCAGGATTCTCTGCTGCCTCTGATGCTACCAGAGTATCAGTTGTAATTGGATTGTTCAAGGTGCGTATGTCATTTGATGTTTTATTTATTTATTTATTTTAATTTCAGGACGCAATTATGATGTAAGATTCTCTTTCTGGTCTGAAAATTCTTTGTTTCTTTATGTTCCTGTAGTTTGTGATGACAGGGATAGCTGTCCTGAAAGTTGATGATCTTGGAAGAAGACCTTTGCTGATTGTAGGAGTCAGTGGACTTGTATGCATCCTAACTATCCAACACTTTACTCAGTCAATTTTGTTTATATTATGTACTTTGCCACATGTTGGTTTATAAAGAAGAGGCTGGAGGGTTTCATCTTTCTTTCTTCTATTTACACCACAGGCTCTTTCCTTATTTCTCCTTTCTGCTTACTTCAAATTTCTCGGAGGGTTCCCACTTGTTGCTGTAGCTTCTCTTCTTCTCTATGTTGGTTGCTACCAGGTAACAATTTTTTGTTTTGGCGATTGGCATTTACTGCTCAGTCTTCTTCATTATAAATTAAATGGAATACTCTTAAGTTCTAACAGAACCAGAATCTTGTTTTGCTCATATAAAAAACCAAAAAACTTTAAAATAGTATCTGTTAACTTCACCTTGAAAGCCTCTGTTTCTAACTTCTCTAAAAGAAATAGGACGGTGTTTTGCTATCGTTATTGACATATTTCTTGCCTATGATATTAAGGCAGAGGTTTTGACATGATGGAATTTTGTGTTCAAATTTCATTTCAGATATCATTTGGTCCTATAAGTTGGCTGATGGTGTCAGAAATATTCCCGCTTCGCACAAGAGGAAAAGGGATTAGTCTTGCAGTTCTTGCTAACTTTGCTTCAAATGCTATTGTGACATTTGCATTCTCACCACTGAAGGTATATATATCCCCCCTCCCCACTTCCTTTTCCTCACTATAATGCCAGCCTTTTTCTTTCATATTTGAGGCAGGTTTTCTCATATCTCATGAGTTAAGGCTTCAAACTGACTGGTATAGAAGTGGTTGATTAACATTTGCTAATTTTGCAGGAGGCGCTAGGAGCAGAAAACCTTTTCATCCTCTTTGGTGTTATTGCCTTGCTATCTCTTCTGTTTGTTGTACTACTTGTCCCGGAAACCAAAGGTTTGAGCTTGGAAGAAATAGAATCCAAACTCTCGAAATAGGGGCTAACCCCATGGCCGGAACTATCATTGTAAGTTTCCAACGTGACGTGTATTTGTAACCTTGTTTCTCAGTACCTCCTGGACAGGTCTTATATTCACAAAATCATGTAAATCTGTTATACAACTATGTACATTACTCAATGCGAGAATTTTCACTTTAGTATAAGGAGTTCTGCAACTGTTAAGCGATAGCTGATCCATGACATTCAATTTGGAACAGCATTTAGCTTATTGTATGGCTAGAAAACTTTCAATGGCGTTGTGGTGGAAGGGGAATGCAACCAAGAAAAAGGACGGTTGCTAGTTTGACGTTGGTCGTAGCACCTGGAACAGTGCTGTTGAGCATTCGACTCTCTGTTATTAAAACGATTGAAACTTAGATGCATCTTTTGGGAAATTGATGCTGAGTTATCAAGTTTAATAGCAAAAGGACATACTCATTGTGACATGGAGATGAACTAGTAATGCTGTATTTGGCTAGATTCTTCAACTTTTGATACTTAAAACTCGCAATTCAAACAGAAGATTAAAGTTTAGTGAATCAACATCGTTTTACCTGAAGATAATAATCTTGCAACCTTGTGAACTCAACCCCGTAACTGAGCAACTGTGAGGAGGAACAGAGTGGTGCATGCATTGCAAACTCCATTCTAACACGAGGCCATCGGTAGATTTAACTGCAGGTCGTCACAGATCACTGCAAATACATGATTAACGGTGATGATGAATTAATTGTTGAACATTATTTTCGTGCAAGAGAAACAAACTGTCTATATAGTTTCTAAACTTTGAAGTATCTCTTTCTGCTTTGTTAAAACGCCAATGACATGTAGAGTTGCTAAACTCATCTGAGCTGTTTCCGTGTCTCACAGTACACCCTCCAGGTTTTAATTTAAATACATTATTTTTTTTAAGACCAATGGGTGACAAAACAATCTATTTTAAGAGGTAAAGAAGAAAAGCTTAAAACCTGATCCTCAACACTCAACACTCAACAGTCCAGTATTTTGTCAAGTTTGAAAGTGAGATTTTATCCTATTTTGTTCACAGAGAGCCATGTGTCAGCCAATCCCATTTGTGTGGCCTTAAGGAATTCATCACCACACCACATGTTTTTTCAATTACACCCCCGAGCTCAAAGCTCTTGCCTTTTATAACCAATCCAATCCCACAGATACAACTAGCTCTACATCTGCTGCTTTATTGCATTAAATTTGACACAGCTATCAGTACCATTTTGATCCATGGCTGCCACAGTCTCAAGTGTTGGAACTGTGAACAGAACACCGGTACTTTGTTTTCCCGCCTTATCATCTCTCATTTTTTTCTTTTTTCCTGTTACAGAAAACTTGACATACAAACTGTTTTCCATATTGTTTTTCTTTTTGAGCTTTTGTAGAACACCCAAAAGGATCCTTTTTGTTTCTCTGTGATGCCTGAAATTCAAGCATTTTGATCAGTTGTTATATTTTTCACATGGGTATGCTGTGAAATGAAGTTGGTGACTTCATTTTGATGAACTTTCTTGTTTCTTGGCCCTAAAGATGTCTATATTTGATGCAGATGAGCTTGAACAGCTCTGGTTCTGGAAGCTCAATCCCAAGCTCAGCTTTCTTGGGCAGCAGTTTGAAGAAAGTCAGCTCTAGAGTCCCCTACCAAAAGATTGTATCTGCAGGTAAATTAAAAATTACTGCGGAAACTGATGATGAGGAGAAGCAGACCAAAAAGGACAAGTGGAGTGGCCTTGCCTACGATATTTCTGATGACCAACAAGACATAACAAGAGGAAAGGGATTGGTTGATTCTATCTTCCAAGCTCCCCAGGGGACTGGGACTCACTATGCTGTCATGAGCTCGTATGAATACATTAGCACGGGACTACGAGAGTAAGCAAGAAAATATAGAAATTCATTCAATTTTTATGGCTGCTTGGAGATCTGAATGTTTTTATGAGAGAGTTCTGAATTATGTTTCAGATACAACTATGACAACACCATGGATGGGTTTTATATTGCTCCAGCTTTCATGGACAAGCTTGTGGTTCATATCACCAAAAACTTCATGAGCCTGCCTAACATTAAGGTACAGATGATGCTCCAAACACCAAAGTAAATCTCATATTTGGCCCATCTTGAAGCTTATTTATATATTTCTAACAAATAAGAAGTAAGATATTGTCATGTTCTCTGCCATACCATTCTCGCGTGACTAAAATTTGGGAAACTTTTGTTGCTTCAACTGTTAATGTTAGCTTAACTTTATCAGTAAAATTTTGTTCATGATTGTTGGTTTTGATTTAGATAATTTTATTTGAACTTGTATCAGGTTCCTCTCATTCTTGGTATATGGGGAGGCAAAGGTCAGGGTAAATCGTTCCAATGTGAGCTTGTGTTTGCCAAGATGGGAATTACGTGAGTTCGTGATGGTTTAGCTTGTTTTATAAAAGTTTTTTGGAGAACCACATAGAAATTAAGCAATATGATGGTACCCGAAAATCTTTGCTTGGTTCCACTTGATGCAGCTGCATTCTTGACTAGCCTTAGTGCCAGTTGAGAATTTCATGCATCCATTTTGCTGTCATTAATTAATTTTAATAATCTGGTTATTACATTTCAGCCCTATCATGATGAGTGCTGGAGAATTAGAAAGTGGGAATGCAGGAGAGCCTGCAAAGTTGATCAGACAAAGGTACCGCGAGGCTGCAGACATCATCAGGAAAGGAAAAATGTGTGCCCTCTTCATCAATGATCTTGATGCAGGTGCTGGTAGGATGGGTGGAACTACACAGTACACTGTGAACAACCAGATGGTGAATGCCACTCTCATGAACATTGCTGATAACCCAACAAATGTGCAGCTTCCTGGTATGTATAACAAGGAGGACAATCCCAGAGTCCCCATTATAGTCACCGGTAACGACTTCTCCACATTGTATGCTCCTCTCATTCGTGACGGTCGTATGGAGAAATTTTACTGGGCTCCCACTAGGGAAGACCGGATTGGGGTTTGCACGGGAATCTTCAAGCCTGACAATGTTAGTGCGGATGATGTTGTTAAGATTGTTGACACATTCCCTGGTCAATCTATTGGTAAGTATAGCTCAAAAGCTTGGTGTTTTGGAATTTTCCAACACTTTTCTTGATGAGAATTTTAAGTATAAAGCAGGAAAGGTCTTCAACAATCCATAGAGACTCTTCTGTTGTAGTTGCTTTTGCATATAATTTGGGAATTATCAGTAAATATGATCCCTATAGTATTACTCAATTAGCGACTTGGTTGAAAATACGATCATGCTAACTTGTTATATGCCACACTGCAGACTTCTTTGGTGCTCTAAGGGCTCGAGTTTACGATGATGAAGTGAGGAAGTGGGTATCAGGTGTTGGGGTAGATGGCATTGGGAAGAAGCTTGTGAACTCAAAAGAAGGTCCCCCAACTTTTGAACAGCCTAAAATGACAGTGGAGAAGCTCCTTCACTATGGTCAAATGCTGGTTCAGGAGCAGGACAATGTGAAGAGAGTTCAACTGGCTGACAAGTACTTGAGTGATGCAGCCCTTGGAGATGCAAACCAGGACGCCATTAAGAGAGGAGAATTCTATGGTTAGCACACTTTGTCTTAGCACAACAACCCTAGAGGCACCAACTTGTGTCCCAACTTTTTAAATCTCAAGTGATGTGGCGGAATTTCATTCGTTTAAATTTGGGGCAGATTTTCCTTACCAAATCTGAACTATAGTAGTTTGTTCAAGTTTTCTGTAAATTTTTTTATGCAGGCAAGGCAGCCCAGCAAATTAAAGTACCTGTCCCTGAAGGCTGTACTGATCCATCAGCTGCAAACTTTGACCCAACAGCTAGGAGTGACAATGGTAGTTGTCAATATGAGTAAACGGGGAGTTGGAAGAAATAATGATATTGCTTGCTTGCTGGGTTCTTATCTTCTTTTATAATATACACTTGTATTTTATTGGGGATTAATGCTTTGTTTTTATTTAATGATTAAATTAGCTATTAATGCTATATTATTTATTCTCTCTCACCCATTCATCCCATGCCACTCGATAAGGCTCGTAGGCTTAATGTCATTGTTTTTTTTTATACAATCGATATTGGAAAGGGGGGAATGGAACCTAAAACCTCAAGTGCAAGGATACATGCTCTTAACTACTGAGCTAAAAGCAACTTGCGGCTAAATTCCATTGTTATCCTCAAACTTGTTTATCTCCACTCATTATCTAAATTATAGTTTTAGAATCATGAAATATAAAAATCTAACTAGAGCCCACACAACAAACATAAACAGAAAGAGAGGAAAGGGAAGGAAGAGAGAGGGTGTGATATATATTTTATTTATATTTTTGCTTTCATTTTTTAGTGGTACAATTGTTCAAATCGAATCATCCAGCTACACAAACAGAAAACAAGTCCTTTGATCGTATGCAGCCGGAAACCAAAACAAGAAGAATTGTAAATTTAAGATTATCAGTGAAATTTTCTCTTCATCTCTTGTGCCCTATGTGATTGCTGACTTTCAAAAATGTAAATGTAAATTAGTATGGAAGATTGTTCACAGAGCTTCTGTGAAATTATTTTCATCAACACTTTTCAACTTCTGAAGCTACAAAATTTGTTTATTGGCAACAATACAAAGCTTACACAAACATTGTAAATGATGTTTGGGAACCACTTATTGATGCGTAGAAACTTGTACAAAAGCCCAGAGGATTATTTCTTTATCAACAGTTGCTTTCCACTTTTCAGTTAGTCTGTAGTATTCTTCCCTTATTTTCTTCCTCGACGACTGCAATGCATAATAGATCTCCATGAGGATAAATCATTTCAAAAAGAAGAGAATAAAAGAAACTACAAGATATAACTTAGTACTGTGTCAAGTATAGAACCTATAGCTGGCCCTGACGACCGTGGCCCTTCACAGATATACTTGGTCCGTCTATATGATTTTTGAACTGAATCACCATCAATCTCCATTTATTCATCAATCGAACTTTATAACTAAGGGAAATGTTCTTACCAGACAGTGTGACATGTTATTTGGACCGTTAATCAGAGATGGGTTCTTATTTTAATATGTGATGCCAGATTAACGGTTTTACAACATAACATGCCAAAGAATCATTAACCTTATAACTTAATTTATCACTTCGCACTTTGTAGAATTGATTAATGAAGGAAATACCATGGAAGTTACCTTCATATGCATTGGTAGAGACCGGAATGCGAGGTGATGAGGCCTTGGCTGATTGTGAGTGTGGTGATGATGAGGTCATGGCTGATTGTGAGCGTGGTGATGATGAGGTCATGGCTGGTTGTGAGCTTGGTGATGTCGTCATGGCTGATTGTGAGGTAGTAGTTTTGGGCGACTCATCGTTCCGAAGCAAGGAAGTTATAGCCCCTTTCACCTTTCCCACCATGCCAACATCACCACCGGGACTTGTCCTTGGACTCATTACATCAGATATCACTCTTGATAGTGCTCTCTCATCTTCCCCTGGCTCAAACTTTTGAGCCAAATACTCCTTCACAGAAACACCCTTATCCCATATTTGGTCACTGCTACCAGCATGCTTTCCACCTTGTGGAGCTGCTGGGGCTGACAAAGGTTGCGGAGCCTCTGAGGCTGCCAAGGTTTGTTGAGCTGCCTGCGATGAAGAGTTTTTTGGAGCTGATACTGCTAAAGAAGTGTGAGGAGCTTCCAGGGATTCATTGTTTTCTGAAGGTGTTGGGGCTGCAACAGTGAGACCAACCTTTGAGGCAATGGCGTGGGTTGCATCTGCTACTGCAGCAGGGGCTGAAACAGTGAGACCTTCTATCTTTGAGGCAATGGCATGGGTTGTATCTGATACTGTGGCATAGGCTGGTCCTAACTTCTCAGTGACAGTTTCAGTTATTGTCTTCTTAGGACTAGGAGGCTTTACAGTTTCAGCTACTGACTTGCTAGGACTAGGAGGCTTCTTGGCCACAGTTTCGGTGACTGTCTCATTAGGACTAAGAGACTTCACGGCTGCAGTTTCGGTTACTGCCTTGTTAGGACTAAGAGGCTTCTCCTTATCTTGTTCAGCATCTTGATTGACACTACTTGGCAAAACATGCTTCTCAGAAATCACAGGAACTGCTCTGGGATGTAGCTTTGCGGTCTCCTTGTATCCCTCAGGTGCCAGCTCTGATTCATACACTGCAAATGAAATGAAACTATTAAAGCGGGGATCCGTGGACAATTTGGAAGCCACAAAGAAATGGTTGGCGTTACTCCCCAAAGGGAAAACAAGCAGAGAAAATTTAGAAACAGATATGTTATGCATAATGAAATCTTTAAGATACTAATTATTACTTGGGGCTCCTAGATATTCAGCATCTTGTTCTTCGTCTTCATGCTCATTTATGCTTGCACCCAAAGTGGGGGTGCTGTTATCACCTTCCATATGCTTCTTCTTGTGACTGAGTGAGTGCCGCAGTTTCTTGGCCTTCTCTTTAACCTTAGTGAGAACAGATTTCTTGTGATGGTGTCCGTGATCGTCTTCTTGATCATGGTACCCAAGCGGAGATGATGAGGATGAGGATGAGGATGCTGGTGACGACTTTAAAGCTTCACCTCCTGGACAGGAAAAATGGGTTAGAAGAATATTTGTAATTATCAGAAAAGAGTTCCAGACACATGTTCTGGCAAGGCATGGTGCCTTGGCCGATTGACATGTTCGACACATGGCTATATACAACCGGTTACACTTAATATTTTCTCATATCTTAGTGCGACCCTGCTACAATCCAAATATCTGTACCATGTTCACTGGTGGAGAAGAAGTAACAGTAAGATGGCATCGGATACCTCGAAGATAATGTTCCATAGTTGGGCTTGTACTGGTAGTAAGTTTTTTTGGCTCATGGGTGGTAGTAGTTTCAGAGTCACCATGTCTTTGCACGCGTTCGAGTTGAGCCATTGATCTGCAATTCACAATTGAGGGTCTCCTTAGGCTGCCTCTGTTGTTGAGACAACTCTGATATTTGTATGGGGTTCTTGCATTTTCTTCCGGGGTTCTTGCCAAGACAACGAACAGGGTTCACAGGTCAATTGGTTAATTTGTTAGTGGGCTCCATTTTTACACGTGGCAAGAGAAGGTACTAAGTTTAGCTTGCTGCTTGCAACTCAGTAATGATTATTTCCTGGAATAGCGATTGACTAGGCCAGGAGCAAACATCTTCCTCTTCCTTAGCCTTGTTTCTTGGGACAGTATTGGTATTGGAAGAGAATCATGTAACTGATTCCATCATAATTGGATTTTCTTTTTTGAGGCTCTTTAGAAATTGAAAATGAAAGAAAGAAATTGAAAATTGGATTTCCTTCCGTCAAAAGCTGAAAACATAAACATATTCTTTTTGTTGACTGTTTTTGCCATTGTCCTCTTTGTTGACTCAAATCCAACTATGACCAGGAGTTTTTCTAATTCCTCTATCATACATGAGCTTCCTCACTCCTGCTGCATCATCCCAGCAGCCTCCTGTCACCAACACATTCGATAGTAGTATGTAAGTTGCAGGGTCATTTGGGCACAGCTCTTGAAGCTTTTTTGCTGAACGAAGAGCGATTTCCTTATTTCCATGAACTTTGCAAGCACTAAGTAGAGCTTTGTATACAGAGGGTCCTGGCTCTATTGTCATGCTATCAACGAAGGCTTGTGCTTCATGAAGATTTCCAGCTCGACCAAAAAGATCAACAACCGTAGCATAATGTTCCATTCTGGGGGGTTCAAGCAAATCATCATTTCTCATCAAATCGAAATACATAAGTCCTTGGTGCACTAAACCAACATGGCTACAAGCAGTTAGTACAATGAGGAAGGTGGTATTATCTGGTTTGACCCCTGCTCTTCTCATTTGTTCAAACAATTCAACAGTCTCCAATCCAAATCCATGATGAGCATAACCTGCTAATAATGAATTCCAGGAGACCACATCATGTTCGTTCATCAAAGTAAACACCCACTTCGAATCATGGATGGCACCGCATCTTGAATACATGGAAACAAGCCCATTCTGAACACAAAAATTTGAAGCTTGCCCACTCTTGAAAACGAGAGCATGGATTTTCTTTCCCGCTTCAAGGTCTGAAAGAGTTCCTACTGCTCTTAAAATGCTAGCAAATGTGAAGAAGTTCGTAGCAACGTGGGCCTGCCTCATGTCAGAAAAACATTTCAAAGCTTCCTCACAACTTCCAATATTAGAAAAACCAGCGATTACTGCATTCCATGAGATTTGATCCCATATTGCAACACATGAGCAAAGCTTTTGAAAGTCCTCCAAGCTATTGCTACAATCTGAATATATGGTCAGAAGGGTAACAACTATATACACGTTAAACTCAAAACCTTCTTTCATTATCCGGCAATGAATTTGCCTGCAATGATCCCAAAAGTCTGGGCTAGAAAATGAGCTCAACAAACTATTATAAGTTACATAATTTGGTTTCAAACCCAACCGCAGCATTTCCCTTGCTAAAATCATCGCCTCATCAGATTGTCCATTCTGTGCATAGCCAGTAACCATGGAAGTCCAAGTTATAACATTCCTTTCTGGCATTTGATTAAACACCCGCCTTGAATCATTAACACTACAACACTTTGAATACATATCTATCAATCCTGTTCCCACAACAACATTATAGCAAAGCCCTGTTTTCAGGCTCAAACCATGAACCTGAGCACCAAGCTCTTCTGCTTCTAATTGTGAGCAACCCACCAAGGCCCCCGACAGACTGAACGGCGTTGGCACTACCCCGACTTTTAACATCTCCAGGAACAACCCAATTGCCCTTTTTGGCAACTCAGCTTGCAAATAACCAGAAATCAAAGAATTCCAAGTAACCACATTTCTGTCAGACATTTCATCAAACTGTTTCTGGGCACTCGCCAACGAGCCACATTTTCCATACATATCAACGAGAGCACTGCATATATAGATATTAGAACAAAAACCCAACTTGATAACAACTGCGTGAAGGCTAATACCCAAGTCCAAAGAAGTCGATGTTGCGCAAGAGGATATGATTTTGTTGAGGGTTTGAGGGGTGGGTGAATACCCTCCTTGTTGCAACTGAGCCAACAGCTCCAAACCAAAAGGCTTTGCTAGCTTCTGGATCATTGTCATGGTGGAGATTTTGAGTCGTCATACCCGCGGAAAACTACTCCAAGGGCTATGCTTGTGGCTATTTTTGAGGTGAACCGTGGTAAGCATGAGAATGACAAAGCGTTCTTTCTCATCATATTTGTTTTGCACTGAAACGAGTTACAACATTTTGTGTGTAATGCAATTTGTGATCAGTTCAACAATTAAGGAGAAATTATTTATAATATGATGAGCAAAATAAATTATTAATTGTCAAAATGATTCCAACAAAAAACAATTGTCACAATGAGTTGTTTAGAACCATAAATTTAGAGGTAAAGTATGGGTTACATTACGATTGAGAAGTATTACTAATTCACACATATCATAACATAACAGGTACATATATATTAGTACTATACTCGTGATCGTGAGACATAAATTAATAACATCATGTAACAATATGACAACATGAGAAAACAAAAATTTATCCTCCCATATGGATATCATCTTCTAGTTATTTTTTGTGAATGTGATTTTCTTATCTTATACTTTTTTTGTTTTTGCATTATGATTTTGCCTAAAACTATGTTATGTTAGACTTCCTGTATAAAGTTTTCCAATGTAAACTTCAAAGAAACACTCCAACAAAATAAAAACTTTTAAAAAACACCCAAAAGACTTTACCTTTAAACATAAGCAAGTGGTCGGTCGACATATAAGAGCAATACATGTACAAATATAGGTACATGGTCTTATTTCTTACCATACGATATGAAGAGTATTTTACAAATATAACATTCAAATCACTTCTCTCCAAAATTACCACCATTAACGAAATAAATAGTAGTTAAATTTTTTAAAGGACTTGAGATTTATGTAATTTTTTAAAATCTGATGTACAAGATACTAATTAACCTAAATATTAAATAAAAACGCAGATCAATTGATTTGGTACAAATCAAAAGAAAGAATTGGAAGAATAAGTACATACGTAAACAAACAAGTAAAAACAAATAAACATGTAAGCCAAAACCCTACTAGACTGTAGTCCCACATGCTTTCACATTTAACAATAATCCCATTTGATAAACCAGCATTGTAGATCTCGCCCCGTTCCCAAATTTGCAATGCACTCCAATTCCCAATTCAATTTGACCAATAACAATACCACCCAATAAGGGGCCAACATGTTTATTTGGTGGCTAAGAGCATTTAGGCCTCGTATGGTTTGCGGAAAAGATTCGACGTGAAATAATTTCTCAGGTAATTTTTGGGAAAGTAACCAAGAAATACCACTTTATTTTCTTCCACATGTTTGGTTTGTGTAGGAATGTAAAACAAAATTTGTTTAATTTTTCAATTATACCCATATAAAATTAAATAAAAAATAATGCATTTAATGCTATACTGTAATTCTAAATCTTTAAGGAGTCGATTGGTACGGTGAACTGTCATGGACTGGACTAAATCTTGAGACTGTCTTGGATTCGCTCGGATTGGCCTAAGCTGGATTAAGTACTGACCTGCGTTTGGTGATGCATCAGACTAAGAAGTTGGATTGTAAAAATAGTGAAAACCTATGTTTGGTGCTGTGTTGGACTAAAAAAATTATTTAAATATTTAAAATTAATTAGGGATTTTGACCTAAAACTAAATAAATACTGCAAAGAAACCAACAAGAAATGTATAATTTATTAAATAATTTTTTTTAAAGACTAAAACTATCTTTATCTTATATCTTTTTTCTCATTTTTCTTTCTTTCTTTCTTTTCTCTACTTTCTCCTTTCTTCTTCCTTCCCAGCGCCCCTCCCCCCCTTCTTTTTTTTCTTTTTGCTCTCTCCTTCTCGATCTCACTCTCTGGTTCTCTCTCTTTTTTTCTCCAATATTGACACAATGTTATCCTTCCTTTTCTATATCTCCATCCCAAACCTTTTTCTGCTTCCCTCTCATTTTCTCTCTATTCTTCCCCCTTTTTTTGGGTACAAAGAGGGGTAAACGCCCCAAAATAAAAACAATTAAACAGGAACAAGGGGAGGTCTGGCAGCACCTTGAGCATCAACATCTAAAATGGCTCTAAGGAAGGCAGGAGTTTCTTCAAAAACATGAAGGCCATGATTAAACTCATGACTTTTGGCAGCCAAGGTCTCTTATTCCCCTTTGAAGTCACATATCTTCATCTTCTTCAAAATCACAAATCTCCATGTGGTTTCACTGAGCCACGGTTGATGGTTGATAATTTTTCGGAAGGTTCAATCGGGTTGTGGTTCCACTGAGTTTAATTTGGTGGTGGTTGATTCAAGTGGCTGGGTTTGAATTGGTGGTGGTTGGTTCATGTGACTGGGTTTATGGTGGTGATAGTTCTAGGTGAAGAAGAAGAAGAAACTGATTCTTGAAGCTTGGATATGGATTTGGTCTTGCAATTGGATTGGTTGGACTCGCACGTCAAAATAGCACACTCGTTATTTTGCGAACTGCATTTTAGCCTCTCTGTATAAGGAGAGCGAGTGAGGATCTTCTTCGGTGGATCCCTCTTGTTCCTGTTTAGTCCCCTACGTTTAGGAAGTTGTTTCTATTTTTACATATGTTTCTTCCGTTTCTGAGGTTTCTTTCAGTTTCTTAGTAACAATGGGTGACAGTATTCTGCCTAAATAGTAGACACTGGTAATAAATAAGAGAATACTAAATATTCGAGCCATAGAATTTCTCAATTCTGACACAAGGTACTTATTAGATCTAATAAGTACATTAGATCTAATATAATTATTTTGTTGTATCCAGCCTAATACCAATCCAACCCATTTCATGAATAAAATGTGACCAATTAACCAACAAAACTACTTGTTACAAATAACATCTTGTTGTTGCATCGAAACATATAAATGTTGACTAATCTGACTAACATTGAACTTGGTATTGTTGGACTCTACAATCCCTTTTAACTTAGTCTCCCATTTTACCAAACAAGACTTCAAGGCTTATTTAGTATAGTCCAGTCTAGTGAGGCATACCAAACACACCTTAATGGTGACAAAATAGTCATGAAAAATGTGCATTTAATGTTGGCTCATTTTCCCAAACTTTTCCATGAGGAGGAAAACAAAACCTAAGAATGAGGAGGGCTTTACTTTCCCCCTACTTTCTCATGTGTCAAGCAACCATTTTTCCATGTCTGGACTTACCAAACATGGGAAAGCAATTTATTTCCCATTCCCAAGCCTCCTTTCCATGAACTAATCAGGATCTTACCTATATCCAATGTCCTAGATTTGATTTTCATTTGGTATGTTTACTTATCGGAAATGGATATTGAAATGATTGTAATTCCTACTTTTCATATGTTTTCTAAAACATGGATATTGAATTACTTCTAACTCATTCCTTGAAATTGGTACTTAGGTGACGAGGGGTAAATTTAAACGATACTCAAGCAAAACACAACAATCTTCACACACATAAGACCTTGACCAAATATACTTATGACTAGTCAATTGCTAGCCAAGAATAACCATAACCAAGAACACACACAAAGCATAATATGTACCTACAAGCCTAGAAGATTACTAGTGACAACCTAGGTACTCAGAAGGACCTGTCAATCTAGGCATTCATTGTGCTAGCAATAACTATGGTAAGAGTGTGTGAAGGCATCATAATCAAGTAAACACCAAACAGCAGATAATGATAACTAGTCAACTGCAAGAACACAAACCCAGAAATACATGAACATCATGCGATGACTAGTCAACAATCAAGAACACAAACCTAGAAAATTATAGAGATACAAACCAGAAATTGTTCACCCAGAAACCGACCATTGGAAAAAATTGGGGATCATCAACCGACCAAACAATTCACTAAGCAAAAAAGATTCTTACAAAGGAACACAAGCAAGCTCAAGAAATCCTATATCTATTTAGAAAGATGAGCTATACCTCCTTTGTGTAATCTTTTTCTCCAGCTTAGCAAAACTAGTAGCTTTGTCCTTCATGGCAATGTCAGCTCCTTCTTCAACTCTTTCATCCCATGACACCAAGCTAACTAGCTCAAACTCATACAAAACCGAAATTTGGAATCAAGGAGAAAATGACTAATCTCTTCAAGAAACCATACTTGAAAAAATCAATCTTGAATCTGACCTAGATATATATATGCGAGAGTGTTTGATCTAGCTAGATGCAGATTTCACATTTCAAATGCAGTTTTCGAAAAATCAATTTGGAAAACTCAAAGATGAAAAAATATGATAATTTACTCTTGAGGAAGAAGAAGAGAAAGTTTGCTAAGAAACTTTCTAAAACTTACCCACAAAAGAGAGGGCAGCCAAATGAGGAAGTTTTTGGCTTTTACTCAAAAATTCCTAGGTCAAATTAGTACACATTGCAGCTCAGAAAATTCGCAGAATTGGACCAAAAAGTTGGTTAAGATCAAGCTGGAAACAATGAGCTAGAAATCCTACTGATGTAAAGGTTGGCTAGTCATACGAAAGAAAGATGACTAGTCATAGTCTTAAGAAACTTAGTGAATGCAATATGATGCAATGCAGAGATTACCTTTGTCAAACATATTGATTATCCATCAGATTGTAGCCAGATAAGAACGCATAGAGAAGTAATTCTTAATTAAACTGGAGCTTGGGAAAATAAAATAATTGTCTTATTACAAAATTGTCAAGAGAAGCCAAAAGAAAATCACAAAATGCATATACTTGCATTCCTCGCTTATCCTACATTTACTAACATATAATGAATAAAAAATTATGTGAGTTACATGCTAAAATTCGTAATCAAATACTCACAAAATAAGGAATGCAATGAACTACTTTTGGTTGATATGATTCCAATTCCTTGATTACCCTATTTAAGTTGTCCCATTCAGAAATTCTCCCATGTTTGGTAAGTAAACATTATTGCTTTTATAAAAATAAAAAATAAAAAAACTTGTTTACCCACTTGAAAATTGAGCGACTGTGTTAACTCGTTCTCACCACCGAGGGGTCCAAAGTCCAAACCCAATAAACCCTCTTCTCTTCTGTACGCGCCTTATCTCTTCTCGTCTTTCTTCCGCTGCAACCCAACACAATGTTCGCAGCGGCGCCCTCCTCCACCTACCTCAACCCCAAGCCCACCATCCTTCCCTCCTCTGCCCGCACCCTATCCCCACCCATCACCTCCGCCACCGCCTCCAGCAGCCGCCGCCCAATCGTCAAGTGCCACCTGTCATCGCCTTCTTCTTCCTCTTCCTCACCCCTTTCCCAAAACCCTAAACCCTCCTCCACCCACCTCAAAACCCTCTCCAAAGCCCTTGCAGCAGCGTCCACAGTCACCCTTATCTTCAATTTAGGATCTTTCAACGGTAACGGCAATTCTGGCGGCGGAGGAGGTGGGTTTGGGGGCGGAGGCGGAGATGGGTTCGGCGGTGGAGGCGGAGATGGGTTCGGTGGGTTCTGGAGGAGGCTTTTGTTTGGGTCGCAGACGGCCATGGCGGACGAGCCACAGTCCCAAGAGTGGGACTCGCATGGGTTACCAGCCAACATTGTCGTTCAGCTCAACAAGCTCAGTGGATTCAAGAAATACAAGGTCTCAGAGATCTTTTTCTTTGATCGGAGACGGTGGACCACAGTGGGCAGCGATGACTCGTTCTTCGAGATGGTGTCTTTGAGAGCCGGATCGGTTTACACCAAAGCCCAGTTGCAGAAAGAGCTTGAGTCTTTAGCCAATTGCGGTATGTTCGAGAAGGTCGACTTGGAAGGCAAAACCAACCCAGATGGGACTCTGGGTGTGACGATTTCGTTTACAGAGAGTACATGGCAGTCGGCTGATAAGTTTCGATGCATCAATGTGGGTCTAATGCCGCAGTCCAAGCCCAGCGAAATGGACCCGGATATGACTGATAAGGAAAAGCTCGAGTATTTTAGGAACCAAGAGAAGGATTATAAGAGAAGGATTGATAGGGCGAGGCCCTGTTTGTTGCCAGCTCCTGTGCAGAGAGAGGTGTTGCTGATGTTGAGAGAACAAGGGAAAGTGAGTGCTAGGCTGTTGCAGAAGATAAGGGACCGGGTTCAGAAGTGGTACCAGGATGAAGGGTATGCATGTGCCCAGGTTGTGAATTTTGGGAACTTGAACACCAAGGAGGTGGTTTGTGAAGTTGTAGAAGGGGATATCACGCAGCTGCTTATTCAGTTCCAGGATAAACTTGGGAATTTTGTCGAAGGGAACACGCAGATCCCCGTGTTGAAGAGAGAATTGCCCAGACAGGTACTTACATTATGCATTGAGTGAAATGTCTTGACTTAAAGTATTTGGTTGTTTGCTGAATTACAATTTTGGTTTCAAGATGTAGACTTTAATCATGGGTTTATTGGTTAAAGGTGTATGTATATGCTTGGTGCTTAAGCTATATGTATGTTGGAAAACTTCCAATGGGTGATTTATTGATTGGTTGAATTTCTGGTGAATGTTCAAAATTGTTTTGCAGCTTCGACCGGGTTATGTTTTTAACATAGAAGCTGGGAAACAAGCTCTGAGGAACATAAACTCCCTATCTTTGTTTTCAAACATTGAAGTGAACCCACGGCCTGACGAGAAGAATGAAGGAGGGATAATTGTTGAAATAAAGCTTAAAGAACTAGAACAGAAGACAGCTGAAGTTAACACTGAGTGGAGCATTGTTCCTGGACGTGGAGGTTATCCCACTTTGGTATGTGTTAAATGATCTCTCTGCTCTGTCCATCAACCATGGAATTCTTGAAGGTATAAATGTGGAATTCTGATTGTTTTGTATTGTATTTTACGTACGTTGTGTGTTTAGGCTTCACTGCAGCCTGGTGGAACTGTTACATTTGAACATAGGAATCTCAATGGACTGAATAGATCTATTCTTGGGACAGTAAACACCACCAACTTCTGTAATCCTCAGGTAATCTTGCCTTAATCAATAATACACCTCCCTTGTTTAAGTTAACTGATGATTTAATACATTTGCATGAATTCTTGTGTCATGTATTTTCTGTGGTTTACTTTCCTCAGGATGATCTTGCTTTTAAGCTCGAGTACGTGCATCCATATCTGGATGGCGTGTACAATCCACGCAATCGCACTCTCCGTGTAAGCTGCTTCAACAGCCGAAAACTGAGTCCAGTCTTCACTGGTGGGCCAGGGGCTGATGAAGTTCCCCCTATATGGGTTGATCGAGCTGGCGTTAAGGCCAATATAACAGAGGTACTTGTCATCATTTTTAAATGTTTAATGCATGTAGTCCTTTATTTTTTTTATTATGATGATGATTACATAACTTAATTGGCTGTGCCTACCAGAATTTCACCCGTCAAAGCAAATTCACTTATGGACTTGTAATGGAAGAGATAACTACACGCGATGAACGCAGTCATATCTGTTCAAATGGCCAAAGAGTGTTGCCCAGTGGAGGAGTCAGTGAAGATGGACCTCCCACAACTCTCAGCGGTACAGGCATTGACCGTGTGGCATTTTTACAATCAAATATCACTCGTGATAACACCAAGTTTGTGAATGGAGCTATAGTTGGTCAGAGGAATGTGTTTCAGGTGACCTCATTGTCTTGTACCTTGTTATATGGACTTGCTTCTGTTTAGTTTTCAGAACAAGTGAGGGAAAGAAAGAAAAATGTTTAAAAGGGAAGCCATCCTGGTCTTTCTTTAGAATTTTCTGGAATTATGAACTTCATGAAATTTGGTTCTGGCCGGAATATTATTTGGTAATGCATTTGATTATTGATACACAGGATTGCATGCTCAGTATTAAAGAAAAATTCGCCAGGCTTATATTTATTAAGGTTTTCATAGGTGCATCGATGTGAAAATGTGTTTATGTGTAGATGTATATAATTCCACCTTGATGTTATTTTGGATGACTGTTGCACATGTTGTGAAATTTAAACTTCCAGTCATCCTTTTAAATTCTCAGTAGTAGTAGGGTATTGGGATCTCGTTCAGTGCTTTGAAATATAAGGTTGTTTTCCTTTTACAGGTCGACCAAGGCCTTGGTGTCGGAAGCAAGTTTCCTTTCTTCAACCGTCACCAGCTAACATTAACAAGATTTTTCCAGCTGAAGGAAGTCGAGGAAGGTGCTGGTAAACCACCACCACCTGTGCTTGTACTTCATGGGCACTACGGTGGCTGTGTGGGAGACCTCCCAAGTTATGATGCCTTTACCCTTGGGGGTCCATATTCTGTGAGGGGTTACAGCATGGGTGAGATAGGCGCAGCTAGAAACATCCTTGAGGTAGGAACTACTTTAGACAAACATTAACACGGTCTGATGTATGGTCACTCAAAAGTTACGATGATGATGATTAGCTAATGTCTTTCCCCATTGTTATCTCCAGCTTGCAGCCGAACTACGGATACCTGTGAAAGGAACACATGTATATGCATTTGCAGAACATGGAAATGATCTAGGAAGTTCCAAGGATGTCAAGGGTAACCCAACAGAGGTATACAGGCGAATGGGTCATGGGTCAGCATATGGTGTTGGAGTCAAGATAGGTCTAGTAAGAGCTGAGTATGCTGTCGATCATAACTCCGGCTCAGGTGCAGTATTCTTCCGATTCGGTGAGAGATTTTGAGATGCGGCTACCGACTATTTTCTCAGTTTTGTTAATTTGGCCTTTAGTTTTCGGAAATAACATTTTTTCTTATTTAATTTATGTTGCAATTCATTTGGTATGGATAAAAAAACATAATTCAAATTCAGTGAGGATTGTGCTTTTAAATAGAATAATGCGATTAGTGCTCTTTATGCTTGTATCCTGATTTTGTTATGTTTTATGAATTCTTTGAGATTAAATATCCTTTCCCCAAATGTCCGTCTGATGGGAGATTTGTAATATCATTTTTTAGTGGAGCATCAAATTTATAGCCCAATTTATAGGGTGTTGATTTTCCTACTTATCTTTTGTTCACTTACACTCATTCCTGGAGCATCATGTTCATTGATTTTATAGGATACAATTGGATGTTGAAATAATTTTCGATTTGTCTAATTTTTTGCAACAATAATCTATGAATGTATATTTAAAAATAGATAGTTTGAATCGTTGGAAAAAAAATCGCAGGATACCCTAAAGGGTGTCCCTCAATAGGATATATTTGTGTGTGTGTGTGTGTATATATATATATATAAAAGAATTAATCAAACGATTGTGGCCAGTCTCCAATAATTTTTTTTTTCCCAAGGGTTCTGAAAAGTAATAGTCATTATAAGTAATTATCCAATGGTTCTCAATTACCATTTACTGCGATCAAAATTTAATAGACTACCTTCCCTCCAAAATCCCAACTTGGGCACACCACTAATGACAATGAGGCCTTCATGGTACTTACAAGCTCACACATTTGTTCTCAACCCGGTTTGGTAGGAAGGACAATATAATGAAGAATTTATGTAGGATGTTGCCATGATTATGTTGGGTTGTAGATTTCAATAATATTAGTTATCAGAAAACCTTCAGAAATAAAAAATAATAATAAAAAATAAAAAGGAAGAAGAAGAATATTCAAGGTTGCTATATAATTGCAGAGAAATTAAATTATACAAGATAATACCATGAACCTAAGCCTTCAAGGCAACAAACCTTACAACAATACTTGATTTTCATTCATCCAAATCTGTATGGTTTACAAGATGTAATCTCATTAGAAGCTTCAATTTTTCAAATAGAAACACTAAAGACTCGTTACTAGAATCTTACTTGATATGATTATACCCTAATGATAAAATAACAAAAATGAAGTAATTTAACAATTTTCAGTTGAGATCCTTCCATCCATCAATATATCCAAAGATTGAAAGGATTGATTCGGTGAGCCCAGAGGGTTCTCCTAAATCCTCTTCCTCTACATTTCCATTCTCCTTTACTCTTCCAGTCTCCCTCTAGCAAACAACAAACACCCCATCAATCTCTTCCTTTTCCTTCCCTCCAACTTTGCTTTCTACCAAACTGCAGCAATATACATAACGCTTCACCTTTGATGCTTCCAGCAAAGAATTGGTGTGAAGCCGTGTTTCTGTGCTATAATCCCAATTCCTTTTTTAACTGGGCAAGAGTAGCTTCTATCTCGTCAATATTCTCCTCGATGCTGCTCCCCTTACCGGCTTCATTTTGATTACCACTTCCAGTTCTCTGTGTCCCAGAACTTCTGAAAGGATTGCCTTCCTTATTGTTATTTTCTTCAACTTCTGGATCCGTTATGTTGAGTTCTTTCTCAAGAAATTCCACAAATTCTTCTCCAATCTCCTGCAAAGTGTAATCCAGAACACAAGTGAGGTTTCCTTGGTATAGCTCCACACTGAATCACACTAGTATTTGTGAGCATATATATTATAATTCTAAATGGTGAAGATGGTTTAACGTAATTATGATTTCATGTAAAGTGTTCATAATGTCTTACCCCCAATTCTTCCCATAGACTCTTCGGTTTTCCTTGTGAAGAAGTGCTTGCTTCCCAGTTCTGGAATTCTTCTTGAAGGTCTTTAAAGAAGTCCTCTGTAACAGCAAAAAGACTTATGACACAACTATAACTTTATTTGCATTACGAAAGGATACAAGAAATGGATGTTAGCTGAAATTTGGAGGGCAATGCAAAGCAAACATTATGGCCTGTATGATGTCTCACAGAGAGGACAAATCTACCTATTGTTATTTGAACATCCCTCAAAAAATTACCTGCACAACGAAGGGCTTAAGAATAAGAACGCGCTAAAATATACCTAATAGACTGGTCCAAGCTATCTCTTGGTTTATCTAGACACTTTATTCATCAGTGTCTGAAGAAGACAGTTATTTGGATAATCAGTTGAAAATTGGAATGGTCAATTGGACCAAAAGATCCTTCAGTAAAGGCTTCAAGTAAATGCATGTTACCTGATTACTCATCAAAAAATAAAAAGATAAAACAAAAATTGTCATGGCTGATACTCTAATGCCACAGGCAGCATGTCATCTTTATCCAAGAGGGTTATCATACACGCCATTGAAACATATTTTGCATTGGACTAGACGGGTTCAGAGTGCAAAAAGTTCTGTAGAAGAGCAGAAAGGTTTCTTTGTATACTTGAGTTTACTAAGTTCTTACCGAATCCATAAAACTCTTCTTCATCTTGAGAGTTCTTACTTTGGCTTCTTTGAGAAGAAGAATAGGAATAGTCAGATCCAAAATTCGAGTCATATTTTCCCCGAGATTTAGAACTCAACAATGTATTATAGGCATGTTTAATCCTCATAAATTTCTCCTGAGCATTTGCCTGTACAAAAGAAAATGTTACGACTAGTGAAACCATTACAAGAAGGCCAAACCACTTTAGAGAGAAGGCATAGGCTAAACAACAGATTCAGAAAACCAATTCATATCCCCTAACCTTCAGACAATACAAAACTGCAAAAGGGGGTGGGGGTAATTGGAAATCTAGAAGAGCATAAAGCACACTTTTAGCAGACAAAATACAAGCTTAGACAGTTGGCACCATAAAATCACAAAATTTGATTTGGGTAATAGCATCATTGGACCACCAACTTTGGGGAGTCATTTCTCTACAAGAAATGGAACTGCCTCCTCCAATGAATTGACACTCTTCAAACTTGGTAAGCGGAAATTTAATGGAACAACAAACTATGACACAAAATCAAATTGAATACTTAAGAATTGGATACATACATAAATAAATAAGGAAAACAAAACTACCCAGAAACTAAAAATCTTTCATTTGAAGCTACAGCACTAGCAATCCCACAACTAACTACAACCAACAGAACAAAAACACACATAACTAAATTGGGTTGAGTGCAGAAACTATCAATCACCTCCTTATTAACATCAGGATGATACTTAAGAGCAAGTTTCCGATAAGCCCTTTTGATCTCATCGGTAGTTGCAGAAGGAGACACACCCAAAACTTGGTAAGGAGACTCTCTGCGGCTCGCTCTCAAAAGGGTAACAAAGCGCCCTCTTTTCCTATTGAAATTGGAGAAACTTGGAGTGGAAGACCGAGAAGAGAACACGAGGAGGTTCAAGTCGGCTTTTCTGAAAATGGGTATCGAAGATTTGGGTCGGTTTTGCAGGTAAAGCAGAGATCTTGAAGTCGAAGAGAGGTTGAAGAAGAAGAGGGTGTGCGGCTGTGGATGTGGTGTTAGAGGCAGAGCCAATCCATGCATATTCGAAGAACACTAATTTCTGAGAAGTTTGTTTATTACTTCCATGTCCCTAAAAATAGTGTCTTTGGGACTTGTTTAGCTTTGGAAGTTGGGTTGTGAGTTTGGCTTTTGTTGTGTGCATTTCTTTGGTGGCTCTGTTTTGAGCTTCGAAGCTCCTGGAAAAATGGATGAAAAGACAAAGACAAGAAAGAAAAAATGAAAGAAAATCAACGGTCGGATTTCGTTAGATCCAATTCTTCTTTGTTTTCTTCATTTTTTTTTTCATATGGCATCAAGTATATTTTGTACAGAAAATAAAATGAAAAAGGATCTTATCCGGTTTAAACTAGTCATAATATCTTTCGATTTGTATGTGGTCCCCGTATTAACTATGTTTTATTCTTTACTTCTCAGTCTAATTCTCTAACCATTTTAGTTGTGAACAAACCTCAATTTTTGAACTCCTTAAAAAAATCCAACCCAGAAAAAACTACTTTAAAATTATAATAAAGCCAATGAGTTGATAAGGATCGCTCTCTTCACTAGTAAGGCCAAGAGGCCTTGGTATGCCTAACCATGGGATGAGGTATCCTCCCCTCCTTCTAAACTTTTTTACCTTTAAAAAAAAGCTTATTTACTGTTTCACTCTCTTAAACGAACGCTCGGTCTCACTTTTCCCTCTTAAACTGAAATTTTCTCACTTAACCCCATGAATCTCTAAAATTTGTTGAAATTTTCTCACTTTCCCATTTTCGTCTATTTCCATCCACAAAACCCTTAAGTGTGCTGACATGGCATGAGCATTCTAGTAATTTTAACTCCTTATCTTCTCTCTTCTCTCTCCCTATGTCCTTAATGCCCCTCTCTTCCCTCCCCTCCTAAACCCAACCTCCATCACACCCCACCCTTACCCTGTCCCCCTCCCCCTCCTCCTCCTCCCTCCTCCCTCCTCCCTCTTCTCTTTTCTCTTTTCTCTTTTCTCTTATCTCTTTGCCTCTTTCTCCTCTTTGCCTCTCTCTTCTCCCCCATCCCCTCGCCAGACCTAACCCCCACCACCACTCAAAATTTTATAAAAAAATATCCTCGACACCCACTCCCCATTTTCTCTCTTGGTAGAGAGAGAGAGAGAGAGAGAGAGAGAGAGAGAAAGAGAGAGAGAAAGAGCGGCATATAGAAGAAAGACGAGGGGGGAGGGGTGGGGTGTGATGGAGGTTGGGTAGGGGTGAGAAGAGAGAGGCAGAAGGAGGGGAGTGGGTGGGGTGCGATGGAGGTGTGCTTGGGGTTGGGTCTAGGGAGCAAAGAGAGAGGCACAGAGGAGAAAGAGGCAGAGAGAAAAGAGACGATAGAAGAGGGAGGACGGGAGGGGTGCGATGGAGGTTGGGTCCGGAAAGAAAGATAAGAGATAGGCAGAGGGACATAGGAAGAGAGAGAAGAAAGAAGATAAGGAGCTAAAATTACTAGAATGCCCATGCCATGTTATCCCACTTTACGATTTTGTTGATGGAAATGGACGGAAGTGGTAAAGTGAGAAAATTTCAATTTAAAGGGTAAAGTGAGACCGAGCGTCCATTTCAGGAGGTGAAACAGTAAATAAGCCAAAAAATAATCCAATAAAAATATCAATTACAATTACAATTACAAATAACATATAGAAAAGGTTAAAGCAAAATATATATATATATAGAAAAGGTTGGATCTCTTCTCTTCAAATGTAATCTAGTATCCTTTTGAATATAAATATAAGTCAATAACACTTTGCACTCTTGTAGTTTGGACTCAACACAACAATTTGGCTTCTATTTTTTAAAAAGCGACAAAAATAACAAGTGAATTCCTACATCATTGACTTGTATATTAATTTAATTAAGTTGGTTTTTTTGTTTACAGTGGCTTGAACTTAGCACAACAAAAATTTGAGCCAATCCAGCTAACACTCCATTTGTAATTCTATTCGGCTCTTGCAGTCCATATCAATGTGAATGTTGAGTGTTTGTTCCTCATATGATCATATGGTTTGGTTATCGTTTTGAAATGGTTATTTATTAATTAATTTATTTAACACTACTAGAAAAGCTCCATATAATAAGGTACGGATACACTCGTGGCCAATCTTAGACTTTCCACAGAGAACCTGAGGCCAATGAATGTTGGCCACGGATTAGCCAAGGTTTGACTGTGACTTTGAGAAATAAAATCAAACCAAATCCGTATCTAATTATTTTCCAGCCACAAATTGATTGTGGCTATGTCTTTGGTGGCACAGATGTAGAGTAACTGCGGCTATTACATCAATAATGGCCGCTGTTTGCATGTTGTGGCTATGAAAACTATGGCTTTTACCCTTTTTTCTAGTAGTGTGGTGAGAAGATCAATGCCCTCATCTTTGATCTTGGTGGTGGTACTTTTGATGTTTCACTTGTCACAATTGAAGAGGGTACTTTTGAGGTCAAAGCTACTTGTGGAGACACCCGCCTAGGAGGTGAAGATTTTGACAACAAAATGGTGAGCCATTTTGTGGAGGAGTTGAAGATCAAACACAAAAAGGACATGAGCAATGCCCCAGAGCATTGAGGAGATTGAGGACATGTTGTGAGAGAGCAAAGAGGACTCTTTCTTGCACAACTACTCAAACCACCACCATTGAGGTTGACTCTATTTGAGGGCATTGACTTTTGCTCCACAATAACCAAAGAAAGATTTGGGGAGCTCAACATGGACCTCTTCACAAAATGCATGGACATTGTGGACAAGTGTTTGATGGATGCTAAAGTGGAGGACAAGGGCACTATCCATGATGTTCTTGTTGGGGGTTCTACTAGAATTCCCAAGTTTGCAGGACTTGTTTGATGGTAAGGAGCTTTGCAAGAGCATCAATCCTTATGAAGCCGTTGCGTATGGCGCCGCAGTACAAGCCGCATTTTGGGCAGCGCCCGGACTTTGTCCTGCGCGATGTTGCCCCAATTTCCCTTGGATTTTATAATCCCAGAGGAGTGATGGATGTGTTTATTTCAAGAAACACTAGAATTCCGACCAACAAGAAACTGATTTAGTCAACCTTCATGGATAACCAGCCTTGTGTGTATACTAAAGTATTTGAGGGTGAAAATCCAAGAGCCCTAAAAACAAACAACGTGTTGGGTAAATTTGGGATCTGAGGCATTCCTCCTGCTCCCAGTGGGTGCCTCAGGTCACCGTCTGCTACGATGTCGACACATAGACGGAGTTTTCAATGTCTAACGACACTCATCAATCTTGTTCTTTTACTTTCTTAGAAGTGTGATCTCGAGTTCAACTTTTGCGAGTTTTGCCAATGAATACAACAGAAATCTGAATTTGGTCTTAACTCAAATAAAACTGTTTCTAAAATCAATTTACATTACAAGACCAAAACAAATAATAAAAAATAGCCTAAATTACAAGGACGAGAATTGTAATTAACGTTCACTTCAATCTTCTGACTGAGTGAAACGTGTTTGGTTTTTTCCCGCGCTTTGCCGTTGCTATTCCAATGTCAATGCGTCGTTTCAAAGGCCAGGTACTCCCAGCGGCTCGCCAGAACAACCCCATCATCCACCGTCCATTTCAATCAACACCTGATTACTACACAAAGCTGATCGAAACCTACGCTCGTGATCGAGAATTGCACCCGGCAAGACTACTCCACGCCCATTTAATCACCATTGGCTCTGCTCGCTCGACTCATTTGGCTTCCAAGCTCATCGCTTTGTACGCTGCCTGCGGCCAAATAGCCCATGCTCGTAAAGTGTTCGACAAAATTCCCCAAACGAACATACGCCGCTGGTTTGCTCTCATTGGAGCCTATGCTCGTTGTGGGTTTTATCAGCAGGCAATCGATGTGTTCTGGGAGATGCAAGGAAAGGTTTCAAGGCCCAACAAGATTGTTATCCCCAGTGTTCTCAAAGCATGTGGACACCTCTCTGATCTTAAAACCGGTAAGAAAATACACGCCGTGGTGCTCCACTTCTCGTTTGAATTTGATGCTTTTGTTAGCAGTGCGCTCATTGATATGTACTCAAAGAATGGGCGGGTGGAGAAGGCACAACAAGTTTTCGATATGATGGTGGAGAAAGATTTGGTGGCTTTGAATGCTATGGTTTCGGGGTTTGCTCAACATGGTTTGGCTAGAGAAGCATTGCGTTTGGTGGAGAAAATGCAGCTACTGGGATTAAAGCCCAATTTGATAACTTGGAACAGTTTGGTTTCTGGGTTTTCGCAGAAGGGCGATGAAGCATTGGCGTATCGAATTTTTAACCTAATGCGGGTTAACGGGATTGAGCCTGATGTTGTATCTTGGACTTCGGTTATATCTGGGTTTGTGCACAACTTTCAGAACAACAAAGCTTTTCATACATTCAAGCAAATGTTGAGTCATGGACTGTGTCCAACTTCGAACACTATTAGTAGCCTCTTGCCTGCTTGTGCAGCTGTGACGGATGTGAAGCGTGGGAAGGAGATTCATGCCTACGCGTTGGCGATAGGAGTTGAAGAAGATGTATATGTGAGGAGTGCTCTTGTTGACATGTACGCAAAATGCGGATTTATATACGAAGCAAAGGCATTGTTTTGCAAGATGTCTCAAAAGAACACGGTGACATGGAATTCGATGATTTTTGGATATGCGAATCATGGGTATTGTAATGAAGCAATTGAGCTTTTCAACCAGATGAAGATAGAAGACGATAAGAAACTCGATTATCTGACTTTCATTGCAGTTCTCACGGCTTGTTGTCATGCCGGAATGATCGAACTTGGAGAAAGCTTGTTCTATTTGATGCAGGAAAGGTATGGGATCGTGCCAAGACTAGAACATTATGCATGCATGGTTGACCTTCTTGGTCGAGCAGGGAAACTCACTGAGGCTTATGATATGATTAAGGCAATGCCTATGGAGCCAGATTTGTTTGTATGGGGAGCATTACTGGGAGCATGTCGGAATTATGGAAATATAGATCTAGCTGAAGTAGCAGCAAAGCATTTGTCGGAGTTAGAGCCGGAGAGTGCAGGTAACAATTTGCTGTTGTCAAGTCTGTATGCTGATTCTGGCAGTTGGGGGAATGTTGCAAGGTTGAAGAAAATGATGATGAAAAACAAGTTAAGGAAACTTCCAGGACGCAGTTGGATGGAAGCTGCCTGATATTATAGAATGGCCTTTCAAGGAAGATTTTGTAAACTAGCTGTTGCATAAGCTTATTTTATCGAACTTTTATCACAGCAGAGCACAGCAACATGAAAATCTACCCAAATAGTAAAAGATCCGTGAGATTCAGAAGGAAAGAGAAGCCGGATGACAGTGAAAATGAAATTATGGGATATAACATCAAGCTAGAATGCTATTAATTCTCACTCAAGTTTGTTCAGTATACAAGAAGTAGGCTTTCAATCAAGAGCAAGCAATTTCATATGAAGAAATAAAAAAGAGCTCAATTCCAATCTGTAGAGAGGTACAGTATTAATTATTTTAGTTGACAACATAACCTTAAAAAATAATGGGTATCAGCCATTCAGCCTTTACTCCTGTTGGAGAGGACACGGCTTTTTCGGATGAAGTCCATCTGAACAATCTGCAAGTGATGCAACGACATCAATTTGAAGTCCAAGGAAAATATCCTAACCTGAAGCTACAAAGAAACCATGTATCCCAAATGAACTACAGGCACTGTTATGCAACAAATGTAAATTTAAAATAAAATAATAAAAAAACTGTTGCGACACTATTATAACAAAAGAGTAGAGCAGAATGTATATGGTCCACTGAGGTAAAAGACATTTTCACCTAAAAGTGTTTGAACATAGCTTTCTAGCAAAAGTACTTAGGTAAAGCTTCTTCAGTCTTTCACCCTTTGCCCAAGTTCTTTAGATCATCTACATCCATCCCTGTCATCCTCTACTCCTGCAATAACTTGTCTCGACAAAACTGTGGTAACTGCTAATGACATATACGAACGAGGCCCCTTAAATTTTGGAAAGGTTAGACAAATTTCCTTAACTTGTATACACATGGGGCCTCCTTGCTCTTCTTTAGGTTTTTAAGTGTCTTAAAACTTCCCCTCATACTATGTACTAGCAACAGATGAGATGTAGTTACAGATGATAGAATGCAGATGCTAAACCATACAGATGAATCTTACAGTTAAAGATGACAGAATACAGATGAATCTTATAGTTAAAGATGACAGAATACAGATGAATTTGAAATTTTAATCGCCTCAACATCCACCGAGTTACAAAAAATGGCCATAAATTTTCTCTAGCATTACTAAACAATGCACAAATAACTCTTGTAGATCGAAAGGAACCTTACAAATAATAATGAGAACATAAGGGGCTTGTTCTCACCCAAATCTGTACAAGAAATTATTACAGTTTTCATTATTCTGAAGAGCAGCAGACAAAGGAGAACACTCTTAAAAGGTCGATGGAAGCAATTGCAAAATTATTGTTTGTACCAAATCCACATTCATATTTGCATAAACATACAGGAATCTCCATACATGACATAGGAGGTGACAAGGTGATAAAAGCATTCAATATCGCAATGAAGGAAAGCAAACAGACATTTCTATATTTAGATCGACTTTTTTCCATTGATTCTGGAAAGAAAAGGCTCAATACCTTATTTTCTCGGTTACAAAAGGCTTAATACCTTATTGATACAAAAAGAATATATTAACTAGAACCAGGTTAAGAATGTACTCAATGCCTCGGTGTCAACTATGTAGACTAGGAATGAACCTCCCGCTGTTATGTAACTGGGAATACATGCATTTAATGAGGGAGATTTTGTTACAATGGCTGATTCATTCAAAACCCATATACCTCTAAGTGTCTCCACATAATTCCTAAGAACCCTTCCCATGCCTGTCAGGTTCAACATTACCAATCAAGCAAGCATACAGGTTGAGTTCCAAGAGTTAGCTTCAACCAACTTGCTGAAACTTCTGAATCTACACAAAAACATACGATGAATAATCTGAAATTCTTGAGCAGTTATCAATGGAGAACTGCATCATATACACAAACTAACAGCAACTACAACAAACCCCAGAAGCTGCTATAAAACCTTGATAAAGAAAAGCAAGCTTTAGAGCTAGAGTTCCATTATTTCTCCATGGCAAGACCATAGTAAACTTAACTACAGTGCAGTCTACATGGTAAGACCAGTGGTGTCAAATAGAATTAGAACTTCACAGAGGAAATTCACACAGGTACACACTGTCTCCATCTAATCAACTTCAGGGAATAAAACTAGTTTCCAAGATGCCCTGTTACTTTGGGTACATACACATGCCAGCAAATTCTACTAAGGAACCATAATATAATATGGTAAGCAACAACCAGTCAAATAAACTAAGCAAATCATACAAATCAAATTCTAGTTGCCCAGCACAGAGCCAGAACAACAATCCAATAAAATAAAACCGCCATTAAAGCTAAAAAAATTAAATTTAGTGTAAGGTCAAGAAAACTCACTCACCTCAACTTAATGTGTAAAGATTTCTCATTTGTCATTTGGAGCACCATGTGGATACGAAACCATCGAACCCATGTTGTAATGGTGCGACTCGAACCCATGGTACCCACCACCCGGCATGCCCATGTGCCCGTGCCCGTGGGTCAACCCGAGAACCGGCATGGGCATCATGTTAGGCGGGTAAGGCATAGAAAACGAAAATTGCCCATTTCCATGCCCGTGGCTCTGACCCGCCTGACCCGACCCGCCACCCGACTCTTGATGCAAGCTCTGCGGCACCGGCGTCGACGCGAAAAGCTGGTCCGAAGACGACGGCCCAACGTCGCCCGATAACCCCTGCATCCTCTTCAAGTAGAGCCGATACTTCTGCAAGTGGCTCGCCACATTTTCTCGGGTCAAGCCTTCAACGTTCATCAGCTGCATAATCGTTTTGGGCACCGCGTTCTTGATCCCCAGGTGGGCCACCACGTCCACGAACCGCTTGTGCAGCTGCGGGGTCCACACGAGCCTCGGCCGCTTCAGCGTCCGCGCCGACGTGTCGTCGGCCGAGAAATTCTCGGTCCTCAGCGCCGAATCGGCCTCCTCCGTACAATCAATCTTCCGCGACTTTCTCGAATCGGATCCGGCGTTGCCGTACCGGTCGTTCTCGTCGACCTCGACGACCATCGGCTCGACGTCGTCGCTGCGGTTCTCGTCAAACGACTTGTAGTTCGAAGAGAAGCCCTGAGAGTGAGCGGCGCCGCGGAGCGTCGAGACGGTCTTCTGCGACGCGCGGTTGACGTCGACGGTTGTACGGCACGGCTCCGGCGAGATGCTGAAGGCCGAAGCGAGCTCGATTGGGATCAACGGCTGAGATAACGGCGTGAGATCGTCGGCGCTCGGCAGCCCCGCCTCCCACTCGAGAACTCGCGTCTCGTCGTCGCAGTCGTCACCGCCACTGCCACCGCCTTCGTACTCGCTCATCCTCACCTCTTCACCCATTGCAACAACAGCTCAAGCTCTCTCTCTATCTTCTTCTTTTTTTTCTCTTTCTTTTTTTTTTTGGGTTGCTTTTTTTAGGTCAGCGAGGTCGAATTGTTCGTGTCGGGATCGGATCGGATTGGGAGAAAAATCAGGAGAGAAACGAAGACTATTGAGAAGAAGAAGCAGATATATAATTCGGGAGACTCGGAGGGGTGTTTGGGAAGTGAGAAAACGAGGGAAAATTATAAAAAAGAAAATAAATTTTATTTTTTTCTTTTTTTTTGCGCTTTTTTGTTGGTAAAAGTGCAATATCTGATTCCATCTTGTGCCGACGTGGACGACTTAGCCAGATATTTTTGATCTTCCAAATATCTCATCCTTTGGGTTTACTTCCCCACTTGCTCCCTCAGATTTCACAGCTTACTCGCTGCACCCTTCAAACACGTGCGCAGATTGTGCACCCGTGTTGGAGTTTTGGTGTGGTTTTATCCGAATCCGAAATTACCAGAATAGCCGTCGCGGTTGGAGGCTTCCGAAAGTGTGTCCTTTGGTGGAAGTGCCAAGTTGGCAAAGTGCCTGCGCTTTTTAAGGGTGTTTTGGTAATTAAAGTGTGAATAAATTATTAAAGAACCGACTTTTGCATTTGCGGTCTTTTTGTATCTTTTTTATTTAAGTGTGGAGCATTTTATATGGTCTGGTTGAAAGGTAGGTGGACCAATGGGAAGAGAGAGATGTTGGTGAACAGCTGGATTGTAATCTTTTATTTTATGCGGAATATCTGTACTTTATGTGAGGGTGATGCTGATTTTTATTTTCTTGGTCGAGGTTGATGGTGATGATGGCATAACTTTAGAAGCACCCGAATTCAAGGCCTGGCGAAAAACCAACTGCTTGCATACAAAATAACCAACTAACAAAACTTCCTCAAAACTCAACTTGAATTTGATCGTATGTGTTTTTAAAACAACATGTTATGAATTTTTTGGAATGTCAATAATATTTTTTACGTAGGTTTAGAATGAGAAACTTGAGTGAGTTCGAATAAAATTTTACTAGTTGAAGTCCTAACTCGAACTTAATCAAAATTTGATCCAATAGTAATTTGTCAATCTAACCTCAAACACTATGCATAATGAACTATCAAAGAATGGTCCAAGTTTTTTGGTTTTTCGCCATAGTTAGGAAGGGGGAGGGGGAAATTCACACACACGAATAGTATGGGGGTTATAATCTAAGACCACTAAGGAGCACAGCGAAAGTCTAAGCCAATCCAACAAACACTCCATTGATAAGAATGGCCCAAATCCAAGTCTCATGAATGAAAGTTGTTTAATAAGAATAAGAAAAAAAATCACAATTATTTTACAAAGGTTGGGTTAGGCTTGTGGTGTTTATTAGGCATGGGGGAGTTTTGACATTGTTCTAGGCCTAATGGGCTTTATGCCTATCCTGATATGGCATCTTTCCTGTCTTACCATTTCTAGTCCAAAAACCCACCCATGGGCCAGAGAGCATTTAGTTCTTTTTATTTTTTGGTCAAAAGGGAGCATTTAGGCCTTTGCTTTCAAGCACCATCCCAATAGAAATTTCCAAACACATTTCTACGGTGTGATGGATTAGTACCATAGAGTTTCCCCTCACCCCCTCATTTACTGAGGCTGTTTTGCTACTGCAGCAGAGAGAAGAGAAGCGGTAGCAAATGGGCATGGCTACCACATCCATATCTCTATCCCCACCAACTTTTTCCCATTTTCTCAAGCCAAGCAATTGTCAATTTCTAAGAACCCAGAAACCATGTTTGCCTTTTGCTTCCCCAACCAAAAAGAGCATAATTTTCCACAACCCACATGATAATTTCACCCAAAGAAGCACCCCAATTTGGCAAATCTATGCAACCTCTGGTGAAGCTGTGCCTGCAGAAGCCATCCCACTTGAGACTTCCCAGCAGATAGTGTCCACTGGTGATGAGGATGGTGTTTCTATCACCATCTCTGTTCTTCTTTTCATTGCCTTTGTTGGTCTATCTGTTCTCACCATTGGGGTAAACTCAAGAACCCATGTTCCGTTTTTGAATTCCAATTTGTTTAAGTTACTAAATTTATGGTTTTGGGAAGTAGGTTTTGCTAAATTTGGGTTGTATTGGATTCAGGTTATCTACCTAGGTGTGACAGATTTTCTGCAGAAGAGGGAGAGAGAGAAGCTTGAGAAAGATGAGGCAACTAACAAGAAGAAGAGTGGAAAGAAGAGGAGGGTGAGAGCAAGGGCGGGGCCTAAAGGATTTGGGCAAAAGATTACTATTGATGATGATGATAATGATGACTGAAAATGCAAATTGCTTTTTTTGATTTTTTTTTTTTTTTTTTTTTTTTTTTTTTTTTTTTTGGTGGTTCTCTTATAAAATGTAATTTATGAAGTTTTCAGTGGTTTGTTGGTGACTGTCTTCCACTTGGAAATAGCATGAGTGATGATGATCAAAGAGGCACATTCCCTTTAACTTGATACATGTAGATTTTACATTTATTGGCAGCAGACCTTGAATGGTTTCATTTTTTGTTAACCTTTAATTAGATGCTGTAAATAGTGAGTTCTACCCTAAAGGCTAAAGCCTGTCTCTTAATCTGATGCATGTGGAAATGTTATGTATGTGTTAGATGGATACAAAATTCTACCAATACTTATTAGTGACTGCCAACTGTACCGTAGATGCATGCAAACTCTATTATATTTATCAACAGTTGACAATCACACGATACAATGGCAACCCCATATATCATTTAAGGATTTTAGTTTCATTGCTCAATCCAATCCCTGATTAGCATCCAATCCCTGATTAGCCCCATTGTATCGATCGGTAAGATTCAATTTTGTAACTTATTAATCATAATCTAACCGCGATTCCGGTTTTTCAATTTTTGGAATATGTAAAATGGGAGGGTTGACTGGCTTATTCATTGATATTGTAATTTATTTATGCGGAAACATGTAGAGGTTAGTTTATGAGGCCATTCCAGCGTTTGGTTGAGAGCCGCAAAGCATAGGTTTAGGGTAGAGCAAACTTGATGTCTAAACTTTAGACATGAGGGTTTTAGGGTTTAGGGCTTGGGCTACAATAACTGGCTCTAAGAGAGTATATGAAAGCACAACAACTGGCTTCACGCTTTGGGACATGCTGACAAAATATTATCAGAACAGACCACCATTTTCACAAGTTTTATAATCATTTTTAAGCATAATATAATTCTATAAGTTAACATTTCAAAAGACTTATTTCTTCAGATTCCTCTCCCCCCATCTAAAGTGATCAATTTATGCACAAAAGACAACAGAGATCCCTCTCCCCTCCCACATCCGCCTTTTCTCATATTTTTACAAAAGACTTAAAATCTTCCCAGAAGTTGAAATGTTCTTCAAATTGGGAGCTACTGTTTCAAAAATTGGAAGTCGTCAAAATGAGACAAAATTTTAGTTTTTGAGTTTTTGGAGCTGCTTTCTATTCACGGGAGGGATAGATAAAAATTCACTACCCAGATAAAGGGTTAAGGAGCTTGTGATGCAGAGAAAATCAGCAATAAATACACGAGATATATAGCCTTGAACAATATACTTCCATAGAAAACTGTACTTTATGTGACTCAGAAAAAACAAAGTCATTACCATACAATTAAAAAAAACTGCGGCCTCGCCTAATCATGAACAGCTCTCCACATGGCAACATTTGTACAGTCACGTCAACATATAAACTACCTCACCATTAATCATTTTTACACCCTTAAAAAACTTGTATAGTCATTTATCTCCTCTGCAGGGGCATCAGGTGTGTTCAACATCTGAACCTCAGCTAGCTCGACTCTATGTATAAACTTTAAACTACACAATGTACAGTTTTCCAGTACAAGCAACGACTTTATTTTCAATCTGCCTCATACCTGTCTTTCAAAGATAGGCAGAGCCAGTCATAGATATAGATACGAGGAAGAGAGACGACGACAAAGAGAGGGAAACACACACTAGCCTCAGTTAGCTGTACAAACAACTTTCTTTCCTACACCACCTAAACAGGGTGCGAAGACTGAGCAGCAATTCTCCTTTCTGCACGCATCAAAGTACGCAGTAAGAAAGGTATCTCTAAAGAATGAATCATGCCATATATGCTATTTTGGAAGTTAATCAACTATAATTATGTACTACGTATTAAGATAATGTACTACACATTGCAGGGAGATGTACTAAACAAACAATCAGGAAAAATCAAGTACATAGATGAATGCATCCACAGAATGATAAAGTGGTCCTTTCAGTTTGTTAAGTTTGGTCGCACATTCATACAGCAAAACGTGTTATAGGGCTGAAACTTGTACTTCTGTAAAAGGCAAAGAGTAAAACAAAAGAAGAACAAAAGCCAGGAATAACACTCAATGGCTTGCATGCCAGATAAAAGAAGCATGATCTTGTACCAAGCATAAAAGCCAGGAAAATCACACCAATTATAAATTAAAAAATTGGCATCCAAAGATACATACAGATATTTGTACATTCAGTCATACAGAAATACTCATTAATATATATCCATAAACATACACATATACACACACACATGTGTGTGTGTGTGTGTGTGTGTGTGTGTGTGTGTGTATAAGTCATGAACATATGCAGTTTACAGACATAGATGTATAAAAATGAGAAGGCAAAAAGAAGAATGAGTACCCCCGGCAGCAACAAGTTTTTCTACACGAGCAACAATATGCTTCCCATAAGTGTATTTCTTCAATGCATTCAAATGAACTTTAATTCGTGAAAGAATCAGTTCACGTTGTTGGTCATCACAAGTCTCCAACACTTTTTGTACAACATAGTTCGCAAACTGATCCTTCATCATTGCCTGTATATACAAGCAGTCAGTCAAACTAAGTAAGTGGACAAAATGTTGGGGATGATAGAATACATATATAAGACATGAGGAAAGAAGAATGAAATCACATATATTCATGCATAAGGATTTGAAAACATTTGAAGCCACAATATCCACAAAAACAATAGGGAAGAATGAAGAAATATAGGTCACTGTAATCCCTACAAAATGATCACTAATTTTCGTCATTTAAGGGCTATAATCCAAGCTCTTAACTTGGGTCCTTATTGCAACACCTGTGTGCAACAGCTGATATACAAATGTACAGAACATAATCTAAAATTGCTTCCAATCCATTTGATTTAACCAAAGGAACACATTGGTTATGAAGCACAAAAGGTCTAATCCATACCAAGGGATCCCTAGGATGATAACGTATACAAATGTAAAACATGTATCCTGTTCCACCAAAAAAATCCCACCCTCAGACCAAAAAAATAATGATGTTCCACCAAAAACAATGCCTCTACTTATGCCTGCTTGTTATGATTACACTTGTCAGAAAAACAATGAGTCCATGACTTTATTTCCAATAAATTAAAGTGTGTAATAAGAACATAGAGATATGACAAACCTGAAGAGGCTCGTTTTCATCGGTAGTGCCAAGCATCTCCTTCACTAGTAATTCACGTTCAGCAGGACCGCCAAAAGTTAAACACTTCTCAACTACATTGGAGGCAAACTTCTGTTGACTCATTTGGACTATCTTCCCAGCTAATTCTTTTATGATAGCAGAACGCTCATGAGGTTTTCCATGCTCAAGGACATGCTGTTTAAAAAAATAAGGCAAGCAGATGACCAAAGAATAATTAAAAGTCTACATGTACATATAAATCAAAACTGGATGAAAACCCCAAGTTCTTTTCTTTTCAATAATGAAAAACTCAGTTGATAAGTAATAACACAGCAAAAAAGAAAGTATTCTCGTGTTTTCATGAAAAACTGAAATATATAACAATAAAAAAGTGAAAAGAGCCCTAGAACTAGGCTTGCAAGTGAGCCAAGTAGTCCGCAAGCAGCTCAAAGCTTGACCTAGCCAAGGGGATTGTTTAGGTTTTCCATTAAGAAAACTTAATAATCAATATCCATGATAAGCAAGCACAAGCAATATCCTTTGAGCATGAATAAAACTCAAGCTCAGCTCGAATTCAATAAAAGTATTTTTTAAGCTAAACTGAAATCTTGAGCTTCTGTAAAATTAAAACAAGCTCAAGCAAGGCAAAGATTATCTCAGCTCAATTGCTGCCCTACCCAGAATATCAAAGAAACAAGCATATGGTCCAATCTCAAACATATCAATCTAACTGTACTAGAATAGTTGCTCTTCATGTTCTTGGGCTAGCTGGACAAATGAACATCTAAAAGGTGGTTTAAATGTTTCAAATACTAAAAACTGCTAAACCCCGAAAAATTTCCAACCTTGTGGTCTTCATGACAGAAATAAGTGACAAAGTACGAATAACATGTTGACATGTTAAAACAAGCAATACGAGTTGCAGTTTCAAACTCAAGAAACAGTGTGGGAAAAAAAATAAGAATAAAAAAATTCAAGGTTTTGTAATTAATCATTCTATGAATATAAACACCAAGAAACAGAGGAGCATCACCAGACATGTGAAAACAAAAAACAAAAGGCAGAGGAGCAGAAATTTTGTTGCAAATATGTCATTGAATATGGTAATGGAACAGAAGGCAGAAAGGCATTAGAGATAGATATTTAGGAGCAAGCCACTTGGCTGACTGATAAAAAGACAAACGTTACCAATATAAAAGTTCACAAAGGCGAGTGTTTAAGCACAGAAGAGTCCATTAATTAGGAAAGATTATGAACCTGAACAACATAATTGCCATACTGATCTTGTGCCAACATGCTAACAGCTCCCAATATCTCGTCCATAACTTTACCCTGAGTATTCATATCATTGCAGTGCTCAAGCACTCTCTGCCAAATACACAAACATTATTATGGATTACACATTAATTGTTTGTTCAGAAGAAGTTATCAAAATCAAAGAACAAAAAGAAAAGGATGTATCTCAACCTGTATCACACGGCAACCATATGGATGGGTGGAAAGGGTCACAACTTGATCAAAAAACGTTGAGACAATAAAATGAATAGCATCTTCAGGAACACATTCAATACACTTCTGGATGACATGGTTCCCATTTTGATCACGTACACAGCGCATAACATGACCGTCAAGTTCTTCAACCATTTTGATCTTTTGGTCCAGATCAACAACTTCTATTGCCTGAACATAATAAAAGTATATTACTGCTAGAACCAACTGTAGCAATCCTTGGATAAACAAATGAATTTTAGTCTATTAGCATTAAAGTTAAAAGGAAATCAGGTCATTAGCATTGGCATACAGTTATTATTAAGCCTCCCTTGCTGCACAAAAGCATAAT